TATTTGGATAGGGGGGGATTTACATGCCAAGTTATGTGTTCATGCATTGTGTTAACAAATCTAAAAATATGTTAACACTGTAACATACAGTATTTTATTAGTAAGACATTTTAAAACATGTACTGTTTGTGGACATCTGGAGAAATCCATGAATGAACACAGTTTCCCCAAAAAAAATAATTATTTTTTTATAATGTTTTAAAAACACTGAAAAAAATCCTGACTGAAATGATCATAATTCATGCATGAAAGGGTTAATGCGGTTCCAGCCATTAGTATCTGGATGAGGTCGTGCATCTCAGAACCACTGTACGCGCTAACTACATTCAAAAGTAATGGGTCAAATGCGCGATGAGAAATCTCCCTTTTACTACTTAATACTTGTGACATCGGTATGACAAAGAAGTGGACCCGCCTGGTCCTTCCTCCACCATAAAGACAACCTGGACTTTACTCACCATTGGCTCGGGACAAACTTCATTCTCATTGGGGCAGGATACCACAATCTTCTGGTCATCCTTTATGGTGTACAGCATGACCGGCTTCCCCATTTTGGACTCCCAGGAGAGATCATGATAAGTCTTTATCTGGAATTTGCACTCTTAAAAAGAGAACGTGAGAAGCAAAAAGGGGGAAAGGCACATTAGATTGTGGCACAAGGACTGCTGGGTAAAAAAAAAAAAACACTTTTTATGAGAATATTTGATGTTTGGAGCGTGTGACAGAAGTGCCTTCTGATGCTTCAATCTCCCATCAGGCCTCAGCTTTGGTCAAGTTTTTCAAAGTTGTATGGATTTTGTGGATGTATTTGGATTTTGGACAAAAAATTAAGTTGGAAAAAAGCCGTTTGACAAAGGCTGCTCGTAAGAATGCCATCACACAAATGAGAGTAAAATAAGCAATCCTCCCTGGTTATCTATGACAAAGAACCCCAAAGGTCACGGTGATCTCCCCACAGATAAATGTAAATTATACAATTGACTGAAAGTTAAGACACTAAAGGACAAAAAAGGTAAATATATTGCAGCTGTTAAAAGTTGGAAGAAAGTGAAACAGATGGGTGACAACTGTTTTTGTAAGTGTAAAAGAATTCAAAGCAATGTTCCTTCTTTTCTTTTTTTTTTTTCTTTTGTTCAAGGACCAAATGACACTTGATGGTATTTATTCAGAAAGCTTGAAGAGAGGAATTCATACGTGGGTGCGGCACAAGCAGAGTGAGACCCGATTCATGAAAATGAAATCGAACGGAGCTCGATCCCCGGAGCTAAACAAATAGGGCACTTACCTGGCTGTTTTCGTTCCACGGTGTCCAGGTCGCGGACTTCCAAGTCGTTTTTTGTCATAATCAGGAACTTCTGCTGCATGTTTTGGATCCAAAATGTCTGAGGTGCCCCGGGACTAATACAAAAACTGTCCCTATGTAGATCTGTGCTCGTGAGAAATAAGGCATGAAAAAAAAAAAATCACCAGGGGTGCCAGATGCCCTCCAACTCTACCTCTGCACCCAATTTATCAGTGAGGATTATGAAAAAAAATATGCAACAAACATTGGACAATGCACTATATGTCGAAAAAAAACGCTTGAAATGTTACCGGCCTCGTTGTCATCCTCTTCACACACAAACAGCAGGAGCCGCGAAAAAGGATGTAGATATGCAAACAATGTAAAAAAAGGGAACATATCAAACACTTTGGCGCAGTTCCCCAATAAAAAGATCTCTTATTCACACACTTGAAGCTTGGGAAATTGCATTTACCTTGAAAGTAGAAGGAATTACAGCGTATATCCTCATATTGGATTCGGTGGCAGTTTAGGGCAGCCATCAGGAAGACTAGGAGAGAAGAAAAAAGGTGGTTTGCTTTTTAAAAAAAAGCCTGAAACAGAGTCTTAGTACAGATCATAATCAATGCTCTACCATTCTGAAAATCAAGGAGATACCTAATCTAGATTATTTATCAGAAAAAGCGTGAAAGTCTTGGTTTAGTTTATCTACAAGCAGCCGATGTGATCCGTGGTCCTCACCTCTGACAGTAAACACAAACCACTGACAAACCACTTACATTTGAGGCAGATAACAGCGTGAACAGATAAGGAATGTTATGATCGCCCAAAAACTGGATTTACCGGCTGATCAAGTGGCTAATCTCAAGAAAGAAGAAAGCTAAGAAGCCGTAAAATGATCATTTTACACAAATCACGAAAGCGTTGGTTATTTTTTGCGTCGGCTTTACTGAAGTTTTTTTTTTTTCCCCCACAAACTAAACTGTTGAATAAAGCAGAACTGTCAGATTTGTGGAGAAACATCGGCTGCTAACAAAACGACTGTTCGTTCTTACCCGAGTCTTACTGTAAACTCAGATTTTAAGCTGCTGCTAAACAGTTCTATTTTTTTTTTTTTTTTTGGAAAAGTTAAATCCAGGCTGTGGTTACAAACGTCCCCTATCCCTATAATCCCCTGCCCCTATAATGTAGAAGAACAATAGAACGTTTTTGAATGGATGTTTGTTTCCTGAAAAGAATGACACGCGGAGGCAAAAAAAAAACAACCGTGTTCGACTGAGCTCCGAGCAGAGGGGCGACGGCCGCAGCTGGCTGTCAAAACTCAGCCGGAACATCCAGCGAAGCCCCCCGGGACGCTTCCAGAGGCTTCCCCTGCGTCTCACCCTTTGTAATAAAGTTTCAAGTACCCTTCGCAGAGTGTCGTTCGGCGTGTAAAAGGTAAACGTCGGCCGTGGCTCACCTCTCGACTCCCGCGGTGGGCAGGCTCAATCTGGGACCTCATTTACGCCGCACGCGCTGATATCTGACGCAGCCGCTCGCGCCAAATATCGGACGGAAGTATGAATCAAACCACAAACCACTGTTCTACTCTGCTAACATTTTTTTCTTTTTCTTTTTTTCTAAGTTTTACAATATTCCCCTATCTCAGATAAACTTCAGGCAAAAAACACTTCCACTTTAATTATAAAGTACTTCGAAATTATTTTTTGTTGTTGTTGGCGTCCTGACTTTTCTATTTCCGTTTCACCGTCTCTCTAATGTTTCTGCGTGCCTTTAATGAGCTCCGAGTTAGTAGGCTACTTATATTTTCTTTTTTTTTATTATCTCACAGCTGGCATCCACCAGAGGGCCGAAATGAGCTCTTGAAATGTGCAGTCAACAAAAAAAACCGCAGGACTCATCTGTTACAAAGATGCATTCATGCATTGGAGGCCTAATTTACACAAAGATGGCCGGTTCTTGTCTTCTGAGTTAAAACAGTCTGATTAGACGGATTGGAGGTAGAGACAACTTGTGTGGTGTTAATAATCTTACATTTATGCTATTAGCAACACAAACGTTTCATAGATGTGTTGCGAAAAGCTTTTTTCTGGTGTGTATTGTGACATTTATCCGGCTTTATGTAGATTTATGATAATCCGACCATTTGCCTAAATATGCACCCCCCATTCCAAATTATGGTGGTTTATAAGGTGAGCTTTATTTGCATGTAATTCACACTATATCTATGCAAGCATTATAAAAATGCAGTTTCATGGAATGCCCTTCTCTGCATAACACCAGTCCTGTATAAAACTTTTAACATTTAGGTTGTGTTAAGACCAAAGGGAACCCAAGTTTCTATCCCTGAATGGAAGAGCATATTCAGGAAAAGAGGAACCAAATCTATGGTATCAACAAAAATATTAGTGAGTTCTCAATAACATGAACTATGTCTCAATTCAACTATTTCAGACAGAAGAGTTCCTTATTAAAAATAGCTATACTTCCTTAAGAGCTTTTTCTGATTTCGGTCATGAGATAAAATCCATAAAAAGGCTTGTTTACTGTGTGGGTTGTGAAAGAACTCAGTGTGAAGGCTTGATATAAGTAACTTCAGACCATTTAAATCAATCTGTTTTAAAAAATTGTTTTGTGGGTAAGCAAAACCAATTATAACTTGGCCTTCTTTTATTGACTCTCTTCTAACTATTGCACATGTCTATTTATAACGTACGTTTTAATTGTGAGTCTGTGTGGTTGTTTGTCTCTGTGTGACTCGACGATGGACCGGAGACCTGTTCAGGGTGTGGGAGCTAGAGATTAGATAGGTTCCAGTCCCATTGGGACATGAAGCAACTTGAAACGCCGGGGGGGGGGGGAATGGAATGAGCAGCTTGACAACCTGTTAAAAAAACAGACTGGCATTGTTGCCACATACCTGTTTGTGGACGTTCTTCGATACACTTTCCCTCTTAAGGCATCTCAGGAGCAGTCTCTGGTATTTACAACAGAGCTACGTCTTTCAAAAGAGATCACTGCTTGTATTCGTTATCTTATCTTTTGGTTACCATCCAGTTCTGCAGATAAAGAACCTGCACATGCGTCCATCTTTTGCTCCAACTTGGAATCCCTAAAACTTAAACTCACCTGGTTTAGGCAGGGACACATCCCCAAAAATCGGTCCTCCACTTTTTAAAACCCTGGCGTTAAAATAACCATGGAAGAGCTAACTTTCCTCCATACCCCTTTACACTCTTGTTTGAACCACTTAAGCGTGCACAGACATGCATAGCCTAAAGAATCAGTCTTAGAACATATTGTTCAGCCTAGTTTCATGAATGAGGACGAACAACCCCAGTACCCCCTACTGCCCTAGAGAATCCTACCGGGAACACAATTTTAAGCCCTCTACAAGTCTCCCAAATACATGTAAATTGGATGTTCAAACTTTGACCTTTGCAGTAATTTTGCAGGTGATATCTGGTGGACCATGACCTGGGTGAAAACCAAAAACACCTTCAACAACCAGTTGGAGCTTCGTCTCTAACAGATCGGAATTTTGCTAAGGAGGCATACAAGTCTTTGAACTACCCTTATGACTTCTCCTAAAGAGAGCGACAAGTTCTCTTCCTGTGTTACAAATGGAGACCAGATCAAAGAGATCCTCGAAGTGTTCCTACCACTGCAGCACAATTTTCCGTCTGAGACAGCGGTTATTCCCCGAAAACCTGACTTGGACCGGTTTGCCCAGTCAGATTCCATACCGCTGAGTTTACGTTTCTTAGCCTGAAACCGTAGCTGTTTCCCACACCCACTCAAATCATGTTCTCGACACTGTTATCATCCTATCATGCTCATGTTTTGTTTGTTTTTCCTCAAGTAAGTAAAAAAAAAGAGCATCATTTCTTCAACATGAGCTCGTTTGTTATTGATAAAGTGTAGAGAAGCATAAAATCGAGGGGAAGGCTCAGCCATCCTCCCGAGGACATCACATCCCAAATATAGTACTCGCTCGGCTTTGGTTATCTAGGACAATGTTCTACAAGAAGACTCATTCATATGGATATAATGACTGTATTGGTTTTAAACTTTTAAACACATGATTTAATTCTAGGGGGAATTAACCACTGACACTCTGACAAAAGAATTAGCACTGCTCTAAAAAGGCTGTTTCACCTAATTCTGTTTTCTGTATTTACGTTCTAGCTTAGAAGCAGTTAGTTAGAATGTGCCTGTTCAAATTGATCTATTGTTTGTGAAGGTGTTGCATCACTATAAGACTTCTGTAGTGTCATGTCTTCATTATCTGTACTTCCCCCGGTCGGCGGTGGGTTAAATAAACTGTCGTCGGCATGCTGAATTGGGTTATCAGGAGGTATGGTTTGTTTGTTACAGCAGTGAGTTAACATTCAGACTAGGTAATAAGACTTTTGTCAAAGCAATATATAGCACATACAAATACATTAATGAGAGTAGCATGAAAAACATGCATTACATTAATTTGAGGCATTATTATTTCTCTATAACCACAAAAATTGAGGGATCACAGCTAAATCAGTGGAATAGAGCCATTAACACATTGTGTTGGATAAAATGAAAACAACCCCAGTTCAGTATTAACATATGTTGCATAACCTTTTAAATTAACCTTAAAAAAAGCAGTGAGAGGAGCTGAAACCTCTGTTTCACATCTACTTTTCTCCATTCTTGAGGTGCAAGCACTAATGAACTGATCCAAAATACAGCTTTATTTCCAAGAACAAGCTGGATACAGAACAAACTCTACTGGGAACAAACCAAAAGAAAATCTAGAACTAACCAAACCTATACCTTTATTACTCATTCTACTTTTCACTTAATGAAAATATAAATAAATTATAAAAAAATACTCAAAGACAAAAAAGCTTATTTGCCCAACCGCTGGTAGTTGCATTAGAATTGTGTAAGTATGAAAATACATGGTTATAATGTAAACTATATAGGATTTTTGTATGCGAGGCTTGGTTTGCTTGAACTTAGATCTTTATTTTATAAGTGGAAAAGCTATGCAGTGGGCCAATCTAGGATGGAGTGTTCAGGATCATTTAGAGTTATGAACATTAAAAAAAAATACGACTCCTTTTCACATTTGATTTATTGCTGCATTTTTTATTAAGATGAAATTAGATAATAAAACAGGCATCTGATATTTAATATGCTTTTTAAAATCGATTTATAACTTAACTATCAACTCTACAACTAAAAGCCAATTTGAACACACACTTGTGAAGCCTTCTGCCCTCTTCCACCACTAACAAGAGTTATATTCTATAACTCTTAGCGTGGGATCCAAGACAATGCTCAAGAACCTTCCGTCTCTGATATGAAGATGGACGTGCAAAATGACAGCTGTTTAAGCTTGTCAGGGCACTTGTAAAGCGCGTGGAATGATGTAGCTAGACTATCTGAGGTCGTCTCAAAGCGTAGTTACCGTATTAGGATAGTAGTGGCCGTTAGGGAAGTTCAAGCCTTGGGATTGTAAAACTTTGACCAACTTCCTTCTCAGTGGTCGAACTGATAAATGTAAATCCGGCTTAGGACAGCCAAATGTGATGAGCAGGTATAGAATTTTACTCCTGCGAGATAAAACTGCCTCGACTCTAAAATGCCTTAATCATTCCAGAAATAGATTGAAAAAATTAGCTAAAAGAGGCTAATTGTTCACATTTTAAAAATTTATGAAAAAAAACTCCCGGCTACTTATCTGCTGTTTCAGAATATGAATGCGTGTTCAGTCTGACAAACGAGTCTGATAAAGAAGGAATTGAAGACACGTTGATACAGTGATTTGCCACTTCGCCCGAAGAAACGTTTGTCTCCACAAATAAGTCGGCCCTTATGCTATTTTGGATCACTGTGTGCTTCTGTTTCATGCAGGCTTACATAAGCATGAAATAAACGGTGGCCGTAACGTTGATTATTTCTGGGGGCATCTCGTTCAGACAAACGGTATAAAACTGCGCGCCCCGGTCGGAGAGGCAGTCGGATCATCTCCGGGGAGAGACCACAGCATTGGGAGACTTCGCCGCAAACGATGGCTACCCTCAAAAACCAAAGGAGCAGCACGCCAGGTAAATGTTTTGAAACGTTACTTTCACTGCCCGACGATAAACTTTAGCGGATGGTTTGCGCTGATAAAGTTTGCCTTTTTTTCATATCAGTGAGAAAATCCAAGTCCAAGAAGAAGATGGAGCTCTTCACGGATGTGCGCGGCCTGCCTTGCATTGAGAAACTGGTGGCCTCAGTGGAGGACACACCTGAGCCCATTAGCACCGACATAACAGGAAGCATCCCGGCCTGGATCAACGGAAGCTTCTTGAGAAACGGGCCAGGGAAGTTCGAGATTGGTAACCAGAGGTGAGTCCGTCTCTCGATGTCGATCTGTCTGACGCGCCGCTTGTGTCCTCAAACTGGTCCCGCTCTTCCCTCTACTGTAGGTTCAACCACTGGTTTGACGGGATGGCTCTGCTGCACCGGTTCAAAATATCGAGCGGGCAGGTGACGTACAAGAGCCGATTTCTCTCAAGCGACAGTTACCAATCGAACCGGGAGCACGAGCGCATTGTGGTGTCGGAGTTTGGGACCATCACCATGCCGGACCCTTGTAAAAATTTCTTCCAGCGTTTCCTGTCGAGATTCGAGCTGCCGAGTGAGTATTCTGACTTCGAGGCTGGAAAAAGGAACCAGGCTCCTGAAGCAAATGCGACTGTTTAGACTAACTGGCAGCTTGCTCTTTTCTCCCAGAGCCCACAGACAACGCCAACGTGAGCTTTGTGACCTACAAAGGGGACTACTACGTCAGCACGGAGACCAATATCATGCACAAGGTGGACCCCGAGACCCTGCACACAACCAAAAAGGTGAGAGCTGAAAGTCACAAAGAAAAATTAAACCTGGATTTCATACCAGATTAACAGGACACTTGCTGATTACTGGACAAAACCCACCCAAGTAAAGTAGAGAAAATTCAAATCGGGCACGGCTCTTGTTTTGTGCTGATGCCTTTAGGTGGACTGGAGCAAATTCATCGCTGTGAACGGAGCGACCGCACACCCTCACACCGAGCAGGATGGAACAACATACAACATGGGCAACTCTTACACCTCCAAAGGTATTTTGGGAGTCTAGTGTGGGAGTTTTAACGGCCCGGTTGTGAAACAGCGTGGCACGCGACAAGTCAAGTGATCTGATCCTGTTTCGCGCTCACAGGAGCGTACTACAACATCATCAGAGTACCCCCGACCAAGAAAGCAGAAGTAGAAACTCTAGAGGGAACTACAGTGCTCTGCTCGATTCCTGCCTCGGACAAAACTAGACCCTCCTACTACCACAGCTTTGGTGAGTAAGCATTCTTGACCGAGCCTGACTGTAACTCCATTTCGTTGGCGTCACTCAGCTCATCAAACAAAAGTCAGATGAGACTTTTGACTCCAATTAATATCTTTATTATAATCATTACATCAATAGTTTGAAATCCTTCATTTTGTGCCACATAATTCCTTCGCTGATTCTGGATATATACTAAATATGTGAACATAGTGATATGCGAAAGCTGCTTGTCGCATTCAGGTAAAATGATTTGTGAACTGTTTCGTTCATAAGTAAAATCCAGGATATCTTTTGGTTCAACTGGAAAACCAAGATGTTCCATGTGATAGAGAGTAGTTTTAGTAACAGCTTTAGGCATCTGAGCAGCTCCACATTCCTGAGTTTTCACACAATCCAATTAAATCAATGATACAACTCAACATAGAGACCAATTCTAATAATTCAGACAATCAACCGTGGTAATTGTTCTGATATTAATTCCTTGCAGCCATGTCTGAGAAATACGTGGTGTTCATTGAGCAGCCCATCAAGATGGATCTGATGAAGATTGCCACAGGCAAGCTCAGAGGGAAAAGCATCAGCGAGGGCTTCTCCTGGGACCCCAAACTCAACACCGTCTTCCACTTGGTCGACAAACAGACGGGCAAGGTACAGCTCAAGCTATCACAGCCTGTCCGAAAGGGTCTATCTCCTTCCCCGGGAGAACACACACCGATCCTCTCCCCTCCTGCTTTTCAGCCAAGCCCCATCAGGTACCTGGCCAAGCCGCTGTCCACCTTTCATCAGATAAACGCCTACGAGGACAAGGGCTTCTTGATCATCGACATGTGCGCCTCAGATGACGGCAGGGCGATAGCGAACTATAACATCCAGAATCTGCGCAAGTCCGGAGAGGCTCTGGATGAGGTGGGAGAGTTGGGTCAAATTCCGTAGCAAACGAGTTTTCCTGATTATGAAATGATTACCAGCAAGCGACAGCTCTTTGCTCCGACTGGTTTTCGCTTTGGAATTCGGCAGATTGCCTTTGGGAAACCTGCGTTTCTGACATGGGCATCGTGTTCCCCTCCACCATTAGGTCTACAACACCCTGTGCAGAGTGTTCCCTTGTCGTTTTGTGCTGCCTCTTCGCGTCGATCCTCACACGCCCTACAACTGCAACCTGGTTGACCTGCCCAGCTGCACGGCCACCTCCATCCGAACGGGCAAGCAGAAGGTAGGCAGCCTGATAAGATCGACTGTCATCCAGATACTTGGATGTTTTTAGTACCATATTACCAGATAGTACCAGATTTTCTCAAACCCTGTTGAATTGAATCTCTTACTTAACCCTTTCATGCAAAAATTCTTCTCATTTCAGGCACGATACAAGTTGTTCTTTTGTCAAAAACTTTTTTTAAAGGATTTTTCCACCAAAATAGTTTATTTCAGCCCTTCTTTAACTCTGTCATTGTGGACATTTTTTAATTTTTTTTATTGCATATTGCACCCGTGTCCACTTCAGTGGCCTTTGCTTATTTAAAAAACAAAAACCCATATATACACAGAAGAAAATTTCACCCAGTGATATCTAAAATACAGGTTAGCGTGCAAATGGCCTTATGAATTCATATAACTATAGGTCAGGTTAATTCCCACTTTATATTTTAGCCTTAACATAAAATGTTTTTTTTTAACCTATTTATTCCATTATTAAATATTCACAACTCCTAAATATAAGTAACTTTATACTATCTTGGAGGTAGATGCATTTATATGATATGCTTAATGAACCAAAGCTGGAATTACTCCATAAACAGTCCAAAATTTCCATTTTTCATAGTCTACATCTTTCCTTTATGCAGGTTTTCTGTACACATGAGGACCTTCATGGAGAAGATCTCCATCAATACGGGGGTCTGGAGTTCCCCCAGATCAACTATGGAAAATACAACACACGTCCGTACCGCTACTTCTATGGCTGCGGCTTCAGGCACCTTGTAGGCGACACCTTAATAAAGATGGACATCCACAGTAAACAAATGAAGGTGTGTTCCCATATTTATACGACATACTGTGTAAAACCCTTCCATCTATGAACGCACGATTCATCAACCAGCTCTGCCAAAAAAGCATTAAAGCTCAGTTTTCATCACGATTTCAAATGACCGCTACTGTAACATGATAAGAATGTTGTCATTTTTCCAAAGGTGTGGGAATATCCTGGTCTGTACCCCTCAGAACCAATCTTTGTTCCTTCACCTGAAGCTGCTGAGGAAGATGATGGCGTCATATTGTCTGTCGTCGTCACTCCAAACCAGGTCTGTCAACTCTGTCCGGTGTTTTTGTCCCCTCATTAGAATCTATTTAGGATTCTAGGCTCGGGTAGTGCACATACTGATTTCAATTGATGGCCAAAGTCCCTGAATCTCTAATCAAAGCTCTGCTCCACTTGGGGAGGACACTATGCAACACGGGGGGATAAATCTGCCACTAGCTAGCAAAACACTTGACTAACTTTTGACTTGTCTGTACCAGGATAAGAGCACCTTCCTCCTTGTTCTGGACGCCAAGACCTTTGAGGAGCTGGGCAGAGCCGCCGTGCCGGTCAACATCCCGTACGGCTTCCATGGAACATTCAAAGCCGCCGCATAGCGGCCAGGCACAAAACTGAGGCGACCTCTGACCTCGCACCATTAGGAGCCCTCAGCCTGCACTGTCAGTGGAAATGCAAATTTAGGTCACTTGTGCATTGCTTGCCCAAAGAAAAGTAAGAGCAAACAAACAAACAAACAAAAAAGGAATCCAGCCAAGTCTATTTTGAGCTGTGCTGATTCTGGAAAGCCGATTGTGCATTTTTTGTTCTTTTTTTTGTTCTTTTTCTTTTTTTTAGGAAGCGAAACTTGGATTTGAGACAGTGTGCTGACAATAAAGTCCAGTTAGTTTAATCACTTTTTACTGTTTCTTTTTGCTTCTTTTTTTTGGCATTTTGTTATAATGGCTTATTTTGGAAAAAGCTCATGAATGTGCATTTTCAAATACATGTGTGAAACGTAGTTAGTACTGTCTGAACAAAAATAAAAAATTGATCAAACTCCTGTCTTTTGTTGGTCTTCCAAACGCTTTTCTTAACAAAAGGGGGTAATTGCACAAAAAAGATCTGCTAGTGCAAACTATCCTGACCTCATGTTCTAAAAACTCACAGCCACTTTGAGGCAAAAATTCAAAATCATTGATGTCACACCTCCTGCTGGCCAGCTGAAGAGCTTCGTATGGCTGGCAGCAAACCCTGTAATCTTCGGCAGCTTTTTCATAACATTTTCTTTTTTTTGATCAGTCTAGATAAATATACATATTTTTATTTTTCAAGAATGTGCTTGTAACCAAATTAATGGAAACACTGGTTTTACAGAACAAGATTTGAGCACAAAATAGTTTTAATACTACTAATCTAAACTGTACTCACCCATTGATAAATAAAACAACATTCAAATAAATATCTATATCCTACTTATGCATTTCAGAGTCCGTCTAAGTGAATGTCTTAGTACTCAGATCACATTCCAGAAATGAAAAGAAAACACAGACTGGTTGTGTTCAGTTCCAACAAGCGACCAACTTCTATGAAACAAACAGGCCTGTTTTATCAGCTTTGGTCAACGTTACCAAAGTTTCCTGCCACAGAGTTATCCCTGCAGCTTCTCGGAAATCAGAGCCAACGTCTGCCTCAGGCGGCTTTTCTTTTCCTTCAGGTAGGACTCCAGGTTTTGGGCCTCTGTTAAAATAACCTCCAGCTCCTTCATCTGGGAGGTGTCTGCTGATGCTCTCTCGCTGCAAGAAACCAGAGCAACTGTCTGAATATGAATCCTAACAAGCAGGAACCAGTGCATTCTGGAAGGCAGGATGGGCTGTTCAGGCTTCCAGCAGAAGTCAGTAGGTTTTAAAGCTCATATTGCTTATTTTACATCAGGTTCAATTAACATAACAATGCATTAATTTTGATCCAAAAGCCATCACTCTCTGAAATCGGTAGAATTCAAATGCCTCCCTCAGAGTTTGAGCGGCAACATTTGTGGTGAAGAATGGAAAAGGAGTCCTTTAAATACCTTAGGACCTCTGCAAATTTCGTAACCAGCACGCTGACTTCTCTACTTGCACCTGTTATGAGAATAAAGGCATTTAATTTAGTGACGAGAGACAATTCAATTAAAAAAAGTGCATAGTCATTTTAGCTCATCACTTTTTCCATCTTGGAATCTAAAAAAAGTCATTAATCTATACATCTGAAACCTGGCTTTACTACCGTAAAGAGGGAAATAACTAGTGGATAATTAGTACTCTTTTCCAAAAGCCAGACTGAGACATCCCGGCACATCTGGGCTAGATCTGACTTCATGACAGCTATCGGGAAGCAGCTGGTTTGCGTGTTTCCTTTGCTCTGATCTCTATGATGATCTTTTCTGGCTTAAATGTCCTGTAGGAGTAACACACCTGCAACTGTTGCCTCAAACGAATCGGCTGGATGGAAAGTCGATGCTTCGGGTGGAGTTTTTTTCTTCTTTGGTGGAGACTTGTCTTGATTCGACTGTGTGGAGTCCATCTGTGGCGATAAAGAAAAGACAAACAGCACTTTAGCATTTATAATTTCAAAATTCTACACCCATCTGTAGAAATATCAAATTAATTAACTTGAGATAACTTATATATTTGTAGGAAACTTATCCATAATATGAATACCATTTTCCAGCCATTTAAAAAAGCATTTTCTTAGCACTCAGGTGGTATTTAAGCAGTTTTTAAAGCATTGAGAAGAACTCATTATCAGCTTGGAGCTGCATTTTTTCCCCTGTAAATGCCAAAGCTGACTCCCGCCATTCTTACTTCTTGGGAAGTTGTCTGTTTTGGCTCCTTGTGACTATTTACTGTCTGTTTGTTGACCGTTGGTGGCATCAATTTCCCTGCCATCTGTGTTATGCGTTTCATTGTCGAGAACTGAAACTGTAAAAAAGGGAAATTTGACATTCAAATGAATGATTTGAAATACAGTAAGCAGCTGCCTGGAGGCCACCGTTCAGTAACAAAGGTTTTTTATTGTTTTATTTGTAAAGTGACCCACAAATGTGACCCGAGTGGAAAACTACAAACTTGAGAGGACAAAACACAAAACAAACACCCGAAATGGGAGCAAAACAGTCTGTAAGGAGACAGGAGGACCAGTCTACGAGGGGTCAGTAGGATCAGTCAGTAAGGACACAAGAGGAGCAGTCAGTAAGGAGACACGACAACCAGTCTGTAAGGAGACAAGAGCACCATTCAGTGAAAAGTCAAGTCAGAAGGATCAGTCTGCAAGGAGACAGTAAATAGTCATGAGGAGACAGGACAACCAGTCAGTCAGTCAGTCAGTCAGTCAACAAGGATACAGGAAGACCAGCAAGAAGATAAGAAGACCAGTCAGCAAGACGACAACAGATAAAGTCAGTGAAATATCAGGAGCTAGACAGCAAAAGGTGAGGAAGACCCATCAGTCAGGAGAGAACCAGGAGAACCAGGAGACCCCCCCCCCCCGGTGGGCCTGAAACTGCCTGAGAAAGAGGGTACCGCCCCCGGACCACCACAGCGCCCCTACCGGCCATCGGTATGAGGATGATACCCCCTTTTATCATCCAAGGAGGCCGCCCTAGAGACCCCCCTCCGGTGTAGTGGAATTCTGGAAACGGTCCTCACATCCCGAGAGCTGTGTCTCAAGCTCCAGTCACAACTAATATGATTTCATGTCTTTAAGGTTGCGTTATCCCTTTCGAATTTAACATTTAAGCAGCTGAGACTTCTAGAAAATGCTTGAACATAAAACTGTAGTCGTGTCAATTAACTAAACAACTAGCCTGAACTCCACACAACAACAAAAACGTTAACGTTAGCAATTAAGCTAACAGCTATCCTAAGTTTAAATAAACTAACTGATTGCAAAGAAACGGTCGCTTATCTCTTCGGACAGAAAGGGATAAATAACTGCTGAAGAGTTGAATATATTCTTTTAACAGCAATTACCTTAGAAGTCAACCGTCCGTTATTTCATTGCTTCACTGTGTACAGCCAAATAGACGTTACTCTGATTTACTACGTCCCCCGGTAATAGCGCGTGCGGCCGGGTGCTGCATTCAAGGCTCCTGGAAAAGTCAGTGCAGAAGTTTCTGTAACTTCCCACGACAGAGATTAACTTCATATTACTCATTAATTTAATGATAACAACAGCGGCCAAGAGAATGAGAATACGACCAAGAATAAGAATTAGAATTGATCTCATGAAAAACTCCTGTGAATTTGATCAAATTAGCTCTTTCTTCAGATGGTTTAAAAAGCAAATAGCATTAACTAAAGCTAATTATTAAAAGTAATGGTAGCTAGAAATCTCTCTTATCCAGAATGTATTACATTTTACATTTGAAACGTGGTTTAGGCAACAAAAGTAACATGGAAAACTAACTTAACTGGTGCAGCATTTTAAATCTATGATAAAACAAAGCAATAGACAAGATTAAATTAGGCAAATAATATGGTTCTTTTAGAATAAAAAGAAAAAAAACAGGAAACTTTCAGGAAGAGTTTTTAGCAGAAAGCACAGGTTCATAACATAACACTGCCATGATAAATGAAATGTTATCACGTAAGTGTTATCACGTAACTCTGTCTTTGATGAAGCAGGTTTAGAAAGCTGGACATGGACTTCCAAATGTTAAGGTGAGATTTACACAAACATGCCATTATTTTCTTTTTCTTTTTTTCCGTTGGTCTGAGTTGAATATTTAAATAAAGAGATTTTGGGGTATTAAAATACTTGTTAAAGGAAGTTGACTTGATTTCAGCTGCAGAGCAATGCTGCTGCCCTGTGGCCACATTGTGGATTGTTTCAGTGCATTCATGCATACACAAGCAAATGACTTTCTTGACAACATCTTATTTTCTTGCAACCCGCTTTTTTTTTTTATCTTGTCTTTAGCTTTCTTTCACAGTTCAATTCAGTTCCCCACAGTATTTATCATCCCTGTTTTGTTTAAATCTTTTCCAGCTTGTCACCATTTCTAATCCATGATTTTTTTCATATTATTTCTGGTTATTTTCCTTTATAATAGTTGAGATATTTTTTTACTTCTCAGATTTTGATATTTCCTGGTTTAGTTTGTGACATCTCTGGTTTGGTTTCACCGTTTTTATAAAGCTTCATTGAATAACATTAAGGTTTCTTCCTTCCTCCTGTCATCATCTGTGTCGGCATTTGATTCCTTTTTTCCTCTCTCCGCCATCCAACATGACAAAGCCAGGTGGCATAGTCGCTCTGTTCATATCCAGCACAGTTTCAAGACAGCACTTAACCTTCTAACTCACCCCTTCTGTATTCTGAGGGCCTTCATTTCTCTCAGAAACTCTGACAAGATACAACGGGGTTACAAATGAAAGATGAGCCCTATTTCAAGCAGTCCTGTGTCGTTATCTCAGTCTTTCAAATGTCAATGATTTGATCCAATTGATGCAAAGCATGATATTCCACCTATCCATTCTCTAAACCTGCTTCATTCTTATTCAGGGTTGCATGGAGCTGGAGTTTATCCCAGTTGGAGAGAGGCGGCCAAGTTGGACAGCTTGTCAGTTCATCACACAGCCTCACAGAGACCAAGAGACAATTCTGTAGTAATATTGCCTCTTCAGGGGCTGCAATAAGGTGGACTGCTGAGGTTCATGTTATTTGTTGGATCATTTGTATTCAGAGCTACAGAATGCAAGCTTTAATCTACCCAGAGAGTACCATATATATAAGGTGAGAACATGCAAACAGACAAAAAATGTAAAGCTAAAAAAAAGAGCAAAATGATTATATGATTATAATAAGCAAAATGTGCACAATGTAATGTTATGTGGTTAGGAGTCAAATAATTCAGTATGGTCAATATCAGTCACACAGGCCCTCTGCAAATGCTTTGAAGTACTGTCCTTTTTATCTTTTTGAAAAACTACAAAATTCTGAATATAGAGCACCAAATTTTCACAAAATGCTCCTCTCATTTACTTTTTTTTGTCCGATGGCTGAACATGTCAGAAGAATATAATTAAATAGTGGTGCATTATGACTGTTTTTCAACTACCAAATGCTTCAAGACCGCTTTTTAGGACTGTCTCTCTACAGATTTGCATCTGAAAAAAAGCCTCCTATCGAGAAACTTAAAAAACAGCTGACACGTACTTAAAAAGGTTGGAACCAGCAGACTGTCTTAAATATTTAATCGGCCGTACCAAAGTGTTGTGGAGTCAGACGTGCTTTGGCTACTGAGTCCACAGGGACAGTGTGTTATAACCTTAGACACCATCCCATCTATCTACTCTGGGAAACGGGTGGTCGTCCAATAAAACATCCAAGTTGAATTAGAGCCACAGCTTGACTCACCGGCACATTTCATAAATCACTTACTTCCCTTTCAAAACTCACAGTGTAGTTACATGAATTTGGTCTCATAATGATTACCGAGTAATGCTTACACAATTATTTTCTAGCTTGGCTGATAACTGAAAGCACTATACTACATTTACCTATTACTTTGCATTTAGATATACATTCACGCACATTTAGGAGGGTTTAGTTCTTTTCTTAGAGTATTGCTATGGATGCTTTGACATGTGCCCTATGGAGGCCAGAATTCTAGCCACCAATTTGCAAGTCATGGCCCTTCCATCCTTTTCCCCCTCTGTCTGTGTGGTTTCTATCCGGGTACTCTGGCTTCCTCCCACTGTCTAAAAACATGCATATTAGATCAATTGAACACTCTAGATTGCCCCTAAGAGTGAACTTATGAGCCGTGTTGGAGCTATTTATTCTTTTTCTTTATGCATTTGAATTTTTGTTAGTTAATTCTTAAATGTATATTTTTTGTATTAATTTACAGTATTTATTTTGCAGGTTAATAATTGTTGATTCTATTTAATTTCTTGTCTTATTATTTTTCTTATTCATTATTTGAGTAAAGCAGGAAATGGGTCATGTGGGTCAGTCCACTTGCCTATAAATATAGGGGCCTGGTAAAGGACCAGCAGGCATATGGGTTGGGGCCTATGGTTTTACCAGGAGAAGAGATCAGGACAAGTCCACAGGACAAGAGAACAAGACAAGAGATCAGGACAAGAGAACAAGACAAGAGATCAGGACAAGAGAACAGGACAAGAGATTAGAACAAGAGACAGAGAAAGCAAGAGCCAGAGAACAGAAAGTTTGAACTCTGTAATTGTTGCAAAAAAGGGAACCAATAAACCTTCAACAAGAATCAAGAAGTTTGGATATGAAATCTTTTCTTTCCTGCGTATAGAAACTGGACCCCATTGCCTCTTAGTGGCTTGAAGAACTTTTCGTTGGATGTTTGGTTCGACAAACAATCGCCACTATAAGCCGTATAGAAAATGGATGGATGGATGGCCCATCATCTACCCCTGAAAGTAGTCCATGCATTGTCCGTATAGCTCATAACTTGTAGTTTAATTAAGTTCAATTCAATTTTATTTATATAGCGCCACATCACAACAACAGTTGTCTCACAAGCGCTTTCCAAAAAGGGCAGGTCAGTCCCTACTCTGAAGTTAATTACAGAAACCCAACATTTCCCACCATGAGCAAGCACTAGGCGACACAGGCAAGGAAAAACTTCCTTGTGTAGTGTCACGGGGGGGCAGAAGCCTATCTCAGCTGACATGGGCAAGACAATCCCCTGGACAGGTCACCATCCCATTAGAGGACCACACATAGACAAACAATCACACACACTCACATTCAATCTTGGGTGCAATTAAGAGTGTTTGATTAACCTAACATGCATGTCTGCATGTCTTTCAGCCCTTCTGGAAATAGCTGTCTTAATTGAGGAGTGTTTTAGTTTGGCTTTGGGTTGTTTTTGCAGTTTACACTTGCACTTGAGAGTTTACCTCATGCGTTTTCCGTTGTAAACACTTTGTGTCATGCCTGGTTTCTGTTGCTAGCTCTTCATTTCCTTGACCACTCCATCACTGAATATTCTTCTGCTTTTTATCTTGTCCTTTGCCAGTTGATTGTGTTGCACAGTTGTATGCATTGTTTTGCAGAGCCGTGCTTCTTTTCGTTGGGAAGTTCTTTGTTTTCAGCCTGTTGTTTGGTTGTCTCGTTATTTAGTTCTTGTTAACTTCTGTTGACAGTTTTGCTTTGTCTGCTCCACAGCACTCAAATGCATTCGAGTCGTAACCACAATAAACTCGAGTTATTGCAGTGACAGAAAGAGAAGATGTGTACAGGGGTTGCTAGACTGAGAGCAACCCTTTTATTGGGATGGTACAGAAGAGGACACTATGGATTTTCTAGCACATACCGTTACATTAAACCGTTTGAAATAGAGAAACCCATAATAAACTGGCTTTTGTTACCTCATGCATCACTTTTGGTTCCACCCATATCAAGCCTGTTGCTACCCTGCTTGAGACGTCTTCATGATGTTGAGAGGAATACAGGCATGCCAGCTGAAAAAAATCAACTCTGCCCAAGAGGGAAGGTTTTGCTGGCTGTTTAGCCCAATGAACAACTTAGGATGGCATCAAAATACCACAACCAGGCTTAGTTATGACGCTATCCTGATGTACTCCAAAACAAACCACATTAGGTTCTTTGAAGCTTTGGAAAGATTTATTATTAATATTTTGTCTTCTCCATGGTGGTGTGGTAGTAAGTAATACTGTATCACGGCAAGCAGGCTCCCGATCTAAATATTTTTGGGTATTCCAGGTTCTTCGCACTGTCCAGAAATATGGAAACTCCAAATGAACCTTTGAACAACTGTGTGCATCTCTGTCCATCACGCATCCCTGCCTGGCTCTGATATTAGTGGTCTGTAGACAATTGTGTCTATTAAACAGCTGATACTAAAAAATAACAGCAAATTTGTGTCAATGCAGCTCAAACAGTTAAGGTCATCCACTGCACACAACCATGGAGGTTTAATATAATTATTCATATAGCATTTTTGCAGTATATGTCATTAGATTGTTCTTCCTTGAGAAATATCCCAGTTTGGATAATCCTTGCCAAGCCTAGAAAGAACCAAAAGGGATCATGGCACACTTCTAGCTTAAAAACATTCCCTCATTCTGGCTGCGTATCATAAATACAAAACATACCATCTCGACTAGAACAGTGCGTAGGACTGTGTGTTCGCGTGTATTTTCATACATGGGGCTTCACATCTGTGATACGCGTCTCTTTTTGTGTGTCTAAACAAAAAAGGAACGTGTGTTTTGTGTAGAAGAAGTATTTTTTGACCGAGGGGTCTGGTTCTTCCGGGCATCCTCACGGCCAGTGAACGCATCGCCGTCGGCATCGCTGCCAGTAGAGGGAGCTCTTCCGGTTTCCCCCTCATCTCTCAGCCAAACATACACAAACATGGCGATAACGCGAGCAGGCAAGATGCTGTCCCCTCTTCGGTGTTTTCTGTATTTGTTAGTCCTTGGCGTTTCGGGAGTAAACTCGTCGACCCTCCGCCTGCATCCGGACCAGCGCTTCACGCCGCCGCAGCAACGGGGCTTCTTCACCATTGAGGCGAACGAGGATTTAACGGACGGAGATGGAGGTGGAGGAGGAGGTGGTGGCGGAGGAGGAGGAGGAGGACGCGCCGCGGCTCCTGCGCTGCCTCCGGCCGTCCGGGGCTCCGGCGCCCGCCCGGAGCCCCGAAGCCGCCGGAGCACCGGCGAACTAGCCATGCCGAAGGTGTACGGCCAGGTACGGTGTGTTCACCCCCCCTTCCGCCCGCCTCGTTCCGAGCACCTCAAACCGACCTTGCGTCGGGAAAAAAAGGGGGGAACCTGGCGGAAAACCAGCCCTCATAAATTCCTGCACCTTGCCCCAACTGTCTCACCCCCGTCGGTGTTTACTGAGGAAACACCGCGTCGGTTCCCCCCCCTAATTGACACGCGCTCCCGAACGCGCACCGTGAGTCATCGAATAAAAAATCGATCCGCGTGCATTTAATATCCACCCAGGAAGTGGGTCCGTCTAAAACAACGCGTTTTGTTTTGTTTACCGTCGGTGGTAACACACGACCTGGTCCCTGGTCCGAGTCGATTGAATGTGTTAAATATGTCGCGTTTCCCACACCGAAACATCTGGTTTTGAGGTCAACGAGTGGATAAAACAGAATAAAACTACTGGCATTTGATAAGAGAACTGCATTTATTTTTTTAAAAACAGAGACAGAAAGAGAAGTGGGGCTGTTTGTTTTTTTACCTGTCCTCTGGTCAATGAGCCTCTTCCCATCCCTACACCAGAATTATGTCTGTATTCAACACCTGGAGGAAACAGATTTTAGATGTCTTTTAATCATGAATGTAAATGTAATTAAGTTACTAGAGATTCTCCTTAAAACTCAGACGATCTTAATGTTGAGGGTGAAAACAAGTGTTTTCCTCACTATTTGGACTAGAAAGCTCTCATTTTTTAATTTGAAACGCATGAATTAGTTTAGACTAATCATCTTTTTTTAACAGGACCTAGTTTAGTCTCATTCTCATCTCTATACTGGATACTGGAATACATTCTTATTCTTTATGAGGATCATCCAGTGGTCTAACGTCTTCTGGCTCTTGTCTCCATTTTGTCATTTGGCTGTTGTTTAGGCCTCCTGAGTTGAAAGCCGGCCAGAGCCGTGACAGTTTATTTGTGGGACTTAAAGGAGCAGACTTGTGTTAACCTGATTCTCGGTTAGATGAGATGCAATTCTTTCGGGACATCCAACTTTTCTGGTGATCGCTGATGCCGATCTTTCTCAGATGAACCCAGAAAACAGACATCATCTTTTGTTGTTGCGTGCTGACTCTTTCCCCGTCAGAGCCTTGCAGAAGAGAAGTGAGCAGAGGGGAAGTGTCTGTGTCTGTGTCTGTGTCTGTGTCTGTGGTCGGCCTGCTGCCTCCCGCTGGTGGAGGCTTCCCTTTCTGGTGACCCAGTCCAAACAAAGCCAAACGGGGGTCTGATTGCAGGTCAGGATCTGATTTCCCCTCCCGCTCGTGGCCCCCAACGGACCGGGAGACACGTCCAAGGTTTGAGCGTTCGCCTGATTCTGCGCTGGCTATTTTTTTTAAGGATTGGTTACACGCGACCCGGCCACCCGGCCACCGGTAGGCCGTCGCTAAGGCAACCGGTGGATGTCTTCATCACCCCGCTTTGTTATCAGTTCCTGCTCAGCGTGTTTCCGCCTTTCTGTTGATTTTCAGATTGTCCATTTAGCCCATTCTTCTCAGCAAACTTCCTCAAAACCTTTAGAAATGCCTCAAAGCTGCAGGTGCATTACTTTTTCTTTTAAAGTTCAGGATTAATGGAGGAGGATTTGTGTTTTCTTGGCAAATTACATTCGGTCATTTGTCAATCAGTCAATTTGGACATCGTATCCACTTGTTTTCTTTCTCGTATTATGGCACAAAATTACATACTAGGTTCAGGAATGGCTCAAGAAGTTAATTCCTTTAGATGTCTTGGAGAGTTTGCTTTTTATTTGCCATGTTCTCATTCATAAGACCCATCACGTTGGTCGATTCTCACTGATTCTCACTTCCATTTTCCTACTACCGCCAAGGTTTCTCAGTGCAGTCAATTTGTTTTAGTCAATTCAGTAACAGGTCATGGCAGAGGTGGGCCCACCTGTTGGAACACCCCTTCTTCCCTGTCGGTAAAAATAATAAAACTATGTTCTCCACCTCATTTTAATCCAGCGAAGTGAAGCGATGTTAGCTGGTGTTTGCTGTTTATGAGTTCATGTGAGGAGAGGAGCACGGCAACCAGTCCCGTTTCTGGAAAGACGAGTTTGTGGAGGGTTGCGGTTTAAAGCCTGGGTACGTTCTGGAGAGAGAGAAGCTCAAAATCTTCTGCATAGTGTGGCCCCAATTACATAGTTGCAGGAAAATCCCAATTTGTGGCACCGTGCTCAAAAGGTGGTTTCTCACATGGGCAGCCTCGTCTTTAAACTCTGCCCGTCGGGATGTTTCCGGAGCCTTCTCAAGATTCCTCCACAGACCCTGAACTCCCTGAGGCAGTGTTGCGTGCGTGTGGCCTCAGCTCTCCGCCATCTTCACCAGTTTTTGGCCGGACAGGACGCCGCGAGGACGCTTCAGACAGGTTTTTTTAGCCATAGAAAGGACCGGAATCTCGGCGGTAGTGCTTTGCAGCGTGAATACCTTTTTGCTTTTTGAACTTGTAAAGAGCCCCACACTGGGGGGGAGGTCTGCTGTCACGCTGCAGGCAAACAGTAGCTCCATTGTGCGACCCCCCCCCCCCCCCCCCACCCCCGGTCGCCGTAAATGCGCCGGCGGCAGGAAAAACAGAGGGCCCGCCGGAGGATGCGAACCGGAGAGTCGCTCGGTGCCTGCCCAGAGCGCAGCGAGACCTCTCCGCCCGCCAGTCCTGCAGGAATGATGTCATTGTTCGAGACTGGCGATGTTCCCTGACCGTGGTGTCGCGTACACACACACACACACACACACACACACCCACACACACACAAACGGCTCTTCATGCGGCTGACTTAGAGAGAGCTCAGGGGAGGGGATTGTAACGCCCGGGCATATTGTTATCGTAGAGCCGGAGGCCGAGCCAAACCAGAAGGACATCCAAGTGCCGGAGAGGTAGAAGGAGGGAGAGGAAGGCATCTATGCAAAAAAAAAGATATAGAGGGAAATCTGGGCTGGTGTGAGATGAAAGGAGACAACTCTGCACACATGGCCCAATCGGCCCAGGGACGTTTTCCTAGTTTCTGGCATAAAAGCACCGTCTTTATTCGGATACTCCCCGTCGTGCTTCTCTAACCCCCTTTCCTTTACTCTGCTGATAATTTGATGATCCGCATGGGTCTGCTATTACCGGCTAAAACAAGGCCCTCGTCCTTGTTTAGATACATCCAAACCTCCATTCCCATAGATATCAATCTTCATATAGGGTGTCAAACACTGGTAAGAGTATGTATAAAATGTGTGCGTTAGGTAATCGATATAGATTTTTGAGGCTAACAGAAGCAGGAGATGTGTTTTGTGACTGATAGCAGAGTCAGTCGAAGTGCCGCAGCCACAAAATTTCCACGCCGGTGTTTTATATGGGTCCAAACACGAATAAGAAATTGTAAATGTAACGACTGGCTGGGAACAGTCACGCTGGTGTGATCAGGCTGCCACTCACACAGGGCAATAGTGGCTATATTTTAAGGCCCAGAAGCACAGATAAAGATCTCTGAAAAGACCGACATTCTTCAGATTAGAATCAGACTCTCTTCTCATTAACAGCATTATGCGAACACTTTAAAGAAAAAAAAAACGGCCTCTCGGTCACGTCCGCTCTGGTTTATTTGTGTTTTTAACCACATACCAAGTACTTATTGAGGTATAGACACTTCCTGAAGGGCCATTTTATAAAATAACATAGTGCTGCATCATGAAAAGCAATTAAAAAGCAGATAGAAATGATATCTTAATAATAATATCCTCAAACAACAAATGATTATTGTTAAAAGAAAAGAGGACATTTTTCCGTATGAAGTGGATAAAGCTCTTTTGGATTTATTGCGTCCTTCTTTGTATCTGATGATTAATTATTGTGGCAACAGGAAATGGACCCACTTGTTGGAGCAGCTAATTTAAGCTCAAACAATACTTAGAACAAGGCCCAAATCAAGTCGAGTTGAAGAGATGCCTGAAGGGAATCAAATAAAGACAAAGGCAGAAGAGGGTCAAACCATTCCTTCTGTTAATTATCGAGGCGAGCGCGAGATTTCTGGCAAATAAAAAGGAACAGACACAGGAATTTATCGGGGCAGAAGAGGTCTACTTTTTCAGGGCAAGGCTGCAGGAAGACACTCGGACAGCTCGAATCCTCGACCCGTCTCCGAGAGGGAGCGTCTCCGCAGTCCAGATGTTGACCTCGCGTTACCTCGCCAGGGCTGCATGGGCTCTTACCTGCCGGCACGTTGCTAAGCTGCAAAAAAAAAGCCTCTGAGGGGTTCACCACATCCTCCCCTCTGCTGCACTTCAGCAGAGAGGAGGGCATTGCATTATCACGGTTTTCCTTTATTATCATTACGTATTATCACATCACCTGTGCGTTTTTCTCAGTTGAACTTCTTCAGCACACTTCAACCGAACAGCTCTTTCTAGTTTGTGTTGTATTTTGGGACCTATCTTATATACCAGTGGTTTAAATTTTTCCCTCTGGAATGAAAAAAATATTATTGAGTTGAATTAACCTGAGAAGAAGTCTTAAATTCAGTGAAAGGGGTTTTCTTCTGACCAAATTGTGGCAGTGATGGGTTTGCTGACCCTTCAGGGCACTGTCGGCTCATTTGGTGACGTTTTTAATTCTTAAAATTCAAATGGAGAAGGCCTCGAGGACCCGTGTAGCACATACTCGATTTGAAGCAGCCCCATATTAACACGATGCATATCTTGGTTCGTGAGCAAATTTCCCAGCAGACAGCGGAAAACTAGCCCCCCCTGTGGGGACCAAGCTCCGGATCAGCGTTTAAAGTGCCGGGCTCCTCGTGTCGGAGGCTGTCGGCCACAGACGAACTGTCAGAAAATGAGGAGCCATGTGGCTGGAAACAGTTGAGGTATCGGTAACGCTAATTTTTTTCAGCGGGCGTCTCAGTTTCCCCTCCAAAGACAGAAATGTTGACAAGAGACCCAGAAAGAAGTGCCGCTCACAGTTATGTTTTGTGGCTGTCCAGATGTTAGAGATGACTTTGATCAATTGATCAAAGCTCGCATCTGAAGGTTGGTTTGATCATTTGAGCTTGAAGGCATGGAACGTGGTTTTGATCAGAAATGGACCCTTGCAGAGTCTGCAGTTTGCAGCATTGAGACTTCAGCATGTTGCGTCGACGGCATCAAGACATCTGTGGTTTTACAGAGGTGTTCTGCAGGAGAGGAAACTGAGGAAGATGAAGACATACTTATCCCTCCACCGGAGATACGTATAACTCATTTTTTAGAATGATTTTTGAGGCATCAGCCAGAAAAAAAGAGTTTTTCTGCCTTCTTTTCATGGCAAATTCATTTGCATTGGTATCACCTTGTTTTTTAATATGTTTTTTTTGTTTTAGAACAATTTGTTTATTGATTTAATGTATAATACAATTACAGCTGTATATCAGCATTGGGTGTAAAGCACTTGGCAGCAAAATTGTCCCACACAAAAAAGGACAGATGAAAAAAGAAAGCAATGTATGTATGGGAACGAAAAGACACCCTCCACCCCATAAAAAAAAAAAGAAAATACAATGGCCACTCTTCCCAGATATGAATTTTGGATTTGCAAATAAACGCTATTCATCAGTTTACAGCAACAGATTCTAATAATTCATCTGCAGGATCTGTTGAATCTGTTACATTGATCCACAAAGCATTTAAATGGACACACTTTTTCAAATATTGACAACTTTCCCTTTCTAAAGCATTTAATCCTTTCCTAAGGAAAGACTTTGAAAAGCGTTTTTTTTCCCATGCTTTGCCAGGGCTGTGGAGGCCTGCAACCTTTCACAATCACTTATACAAATTAAATATGTGGCAGCAGCACACAGATGAGATAGCAGACAGTGACCATGAAAGAGATGGAATGGCCCATTTCATGCCATTAATCTGTCTCCCTGAAAAGAAATGAATTTGAAATGAATGAGGACGCATTATTGCAACTCGCAGCCGTAATTACCTTTCGCAGAGGGCGCGTTTCGAAAGAGCTTTTTTTTTTTCTGAATGGCGCCCGCAGAAAAAGTTATGGAAAGCATCCGGCTTGGTTGTGTACTTTCAATTCATTAGACTGTTTCCACCGTCGGTCTTTTCTCTATGCAAACAATTTGTTGGCCTGAGTCAAACACGCTGCTCATTACTGCAACCTGGGTTGTGAACTGAATACCAAGCTAGCTTTTTAAGATTCTCTCTCTCTCTCTGGCAGTGTTAGGTGTGGGACCTAAAGCACCTAAAGACTCCCTTTGGCACTCATTCTCCACCAAGCTGTCTTTTATGGGTTTACATATGTGTGGTTATTCCCTTCATTAGGTGCTTTTTTATGGCCTAATAATCTATAAGTCAGATTTATAGCTCAATTGGCTTCCCCAAACAAAAAAATGGTAGGGTACTAAGACTTGAATGAAGAAGAAATCAATGCCCAAACACAACTTTTAAACGTAATATTAAAGCCTGTAGAACTGTTGCCGAAGAGCACTAAATTACAGTGTCCTGAAAAAGCATTCATTCCCCTATAACTTTCCCATAATGCAATATAGTGAAATTACAACATAGTCACATTACAACCATAACCCTAAATGTGTTTTATTGGTGTCATATCCCAACACATTATTGTGTGGTATTGGCTCTTTGCTTACTTGATCCTCAGCAAAGAGAATGAATCTGGTTGGGCCGCTGCTTACACCATCTTGTCTCACGTTGTATCCTGTTTTACAGCACAAAGATGTAAAGTGTAAGTCACAGTCAGTACATGCAGAAAGTCAACAAAATGATCTAGAGTTAGACATTGAGATGCGTTTAATCTGAGCTGTGTTGACTTTAGAATCATTTTACATCTCCGGTACATAACAGACGCTACATGACAAAAGTGAAAGGATATTAAATAACTGAAGTCTGCTGTTCAATGTTTAGGTTTGACAGCTGACAGTCAGACCAGAAGGCTTTTTCCCCTCCATTTCCATACAAAGCAAAATTACCTTTATGGTCAGAAAGTTCTATTTGGTGAGGAACCTTTCAACAGAATGGTTCAGGATGTACTTCAATTCATCCAGGCAAACAAATATGAAAATAAATAAAAAACCCTAAAAACTAGCTTTGCACTTACGTGCAGGAATGTTTTGTGCCGGCCAGAAAATATTTCTTTCCCGACAGCTTTTGGAATGACGTTTTCAGGAGCCGAAAGTCAGAGGTGGAACGCGCAGTTTCTCGGCTGCTAACTCCGAACTTGTCTTTCCTGTTTGGACGTTGTTTGTGCTGGTACCGTCACTTCATGGCAAGTGGGAGTGAATTATTTCCGTGAGGAGTCTGTAGGTTCTCCCCGTGCATGCACGGGCTGTCTCCGGATATTTGTCTTCCTTCCACCTCCCAAAAACATGTACCTCAGCTTCTAAATTGTGTTTAGGAGTGAGTGTGTGGTTGCGTATCTCTGTGCGACTTCCGTGGACTGGCGACCTGGCCAGTGGTGACTAACGACAGGTGGAATAGGCTCCAACATGTCTGCGACTCCAAACTGGAATAACCTGGTGTAAAAATTGATAGTTGCACCAGTACTGCTGTGTCATCAACAGATTGATACAGATTGCAAAAGTTCTGCTTTTTTTTATTTTTTACTTGGCTTACTTCACGTAAGGCTGGTGTCAAATAACCAAACAGTGAAAACTCCCCGAATGCCCGGACTGTAACAAATGACACAGAGTCTGCTCCTCTGCAGGATAACTGTTTGAGGGTGTGGTAGAAGCACTGATATATTATGAATAATGGCATTTCTGTGAGGTGTAATGTAATGTCACCCTCTTTTTTTTGCAGTGGAGCCAATTTGGAAACACACTTTAAACCGGATATCTTATAACCGAAAAAAGCATTTTCTCCCCTTTATATTCCATTTAAACAGATACTTGCAAACTGAACTAAGCTCTACTACAAGTAACCCTTTTTAATCATGTGGAGCTGAATCAGTGGGTTATTTTAATACTCAACATAGACAACATAAAAAAGTAAAACTGCACTTTTGATGGCAGCTGACCACATTACAACTATCAAGAATGCGTCTGAGTTTTATAACAACGCTTGTTAAAAGCTAAGATCTGTTTTTCTTATGAGTTATGTTTTACTTACGTTTGGAGCTTTTTGTCATTTTGTATTCTGAGGTTGTGTTTAAATGGACCAATCCCCTCACAGATCGTTCCCCTTATGCTAAAGAAGGAGCAAACGTTCTGTAAATCCTGTAAATTATTCATGCGGTTCAAAAGCCTCTGACGTTACTGTGACCTCTCTTGTTCTTACATATTTTTTTCCCTTTTTTTTTTCTGCAGGCTAACTTGAACGACTCTCACAACCAGATGGTGGTCCACTGGGCTGGCGAGAAAAGCAACGTAATTGTTGCTTTGGCTCGAGACAGCGCAGCTGCGACGGGGCCCAAAACCAGCTCTGTAAGATTTCGAGTACAACCTGTTCATGCATGTTCATTTACTCTCAGGCATCAGCTATTTTTTAAAAACCAAGTTGTTTCCTTATACAATCCATCCATTTTTTATACCACTTATTGCACACAGAGACAAACAACCACCCACATTCACATTGACTCGCAGGGGCAATCTGGAGTGTCCAATTAACCCTCCTTAAATCAGTATAATGTACATTTCCACGCATTTACCTGTGAATCAAACATAACGAATTCCACAGGTGATTCTATAGGTGGGTCTTTGAGTTTCTTTAACTAGCCTTTAAACAGATTAATAAAATAATATGGTGATTGAATATCTGCCGACTGTCTTGTAGAGTGTAACCTGTCAAAATGTCATGAGATCATCTCAGATTTTAAATTTGCCACTCATGTCATTTAGATAGCAAAAGTTTTAAAACTGTCTTTCAAATCGTTATTAGAGATTATGGAGGATTACATGGCTTACTAAGGGGCCACAGACTGACTTCTTTCTCGTTTACTTTTTTGTCTGCAGGTTTATGTGTCCTACGACTATGGGATGTCTTTCACGCTCGTCTCGGACAAGTTCCAGTTTTCCAAAGCCAAGATGAAGGACGGCAGCAAGCAAGCCATCTCTCAGTTCTACCACAGCCCAGCAGACAACCAGCGGGTAAGTTCCTCACGACAAGGGGCTTGCGCGAGCTTCCTGAAATTTCTTTTTGAAAAAAATCCCCTTTGCTGCCGAAGGAATATTCAGGTCAGGTGTGTTAACTATAAACACGGGTTTATTGTGGCATCTAGTTGCACACATCTGCCTGCGTCACCTTCCCACATCGACTCCAATGATCCAATGATTGAGATTCGCTGGAAAAAATGCAAAATTCGATTCACTCTGTTTTGTTAAAACCTGACAAAATTGCATCTTTTTCCTCCTAAGTTTCTCTTTCTTGTACTTTAATTGTTACTAGAATCCCTCCATTTTGGGACTCTATGTTATTCCAGCAGACTTGAAACAAAAAATCTGTCTTCAGTCTATTGGGGAGAGGATTTACTCTGATGTTGCTGTTCAGTGTAGTAAATGGATACGTGAGAAGGGACTGACAATCGATGGCAAAATTCCCATGTGGATTTAAACAATTAAAGACTGACCGAAAAGGCACTGATTGAATAATGAGACGGTTGAAACATAAGAAGTAAGTTCAACATTAATTTAATTGATTATTTAGTTCATCAATTTTGATTCAATGGAGACCATAAACAAAAAACCTCATACTACCACATACTACTGTGGTTACTTATTTTTGTACATCCTTGCTGCATAATGAATGAACTAGCAGCGCTTTCTGATTGTACATGTGGGCAGGAAGTTGGAATTGAGCTGCCTCTCTTTCACACTTTGAGCTGCCGTCGCTGTTTTAGTTACCTGTTTGGAGGGGCGAGGTCCGGGGAGGTTTTCGGCTGGTTCCGATTTGTAGATTCACAGCGAGAAATTTCACTTAACTTCTCCCAATCTAACTATGAGTGCTTTGAGAAGTCAATGGCCGGGAACAGTAAACAGCACCCCCTGCAGAAACCCCACCTGCTTCAGGGCCTGCCAAGAGGATGCGAAGCCTCTCTTCAGATGACCAGGAAGGCACCAGGCCCAGACGGCATGCCACCTTCCTGTATCAAAGACCAGCTGGTCTCCATCTTCCCACATTTCTTCTTCAACAAATATCTGGAACTGTGCGAAGTCCACTCTTCCAAAAACCCTCTCCCTCGATTAAAACAGTTGGTGCTGCAGCATATTCCATAAACCCAGGTAGATGCCTTGCAGTTTCGGTAGAAAAATGCACCATGACAGCAACACAAGGGGATACTATTTGTGAGCATCTCTGTTTTCAATGATGATGTCCCAGAAGCACTCGTCTCCAAGCTAACCAGCCTTCACATAGCAGCCCCCAGCAGCACCAGACAGATAAGAGTTCCCAGAAACCGGACGCTTTCCCCAAGACCTGAAACAGAAGTGTGACATTTGCATCATCATCAAACAGGTTCAGAGGAGGATTTTCTTTCCACAAAAGCTTAGAAGGGTCGACTTGTCTCGGGATCTGACGGTCCAATTCTAATCGGGCGGTTCGATTCTTAAGCATTTTAATAATGCATATTTCCACCACCACACTTCTCATTTCTGACTGTATAAAAACCTTTTTTTCTAAAAATATCTTTGTGCTATAAAAATCATTTGAAACATCCGAGTGAATTTCCTCCTGGTTGCAGAAACAGTTGGCTTTTAAAACTTTAGAATTATGTTTCTGATTGTTATTCTGCTTCTGATTTTGATTCTTGTTACTAACATCTGAGAGAGACTGTGGAATATTACCCCAGTCTCAAATCCTAAGTAGAAGTGGTGGAAACTGCTGGCCAAGCTCTCTCTCTCAGAGATAAACAGCCCACTAAATCACTATTACACAAGCTGTGGAGAAAGCGTGTGGTCTATAATAGTTGGAAGTAGTATTAAGAAACTGAATGCCATTACTCTTTAAAGCTCACACCAGAAAGTGGTATTGATCCTTTTAGCTCAGTTTAAAAATCCAAATCCGATGGAATTGTCCGTGGATGGGGGAACAGTTTCCTCAGAAGTGTTTGAATTGATTCGCATAAATTATTTCGCAATGAAAGCAAAGAATGAATACAACGAATTTTTGAGCGCAGACATGGTTTAGACCGGTTTGGTTCAGTCAATACCCAGCCCTAGATATCACAAAGTTCTGGTAAAGAAACCAATGGTTTTACTAGAGGACTTGACATGTGTTGCCTGTGGGTAGACTTTCAAATATTATTTGTCCATAACACCCCAGTTCCTCAACAAATGTAAACCGTTCTCTAAACGTTCTTTTAACCTGGATCTGTAGCCCTGTACTGCTTGGATCTTAAATCTGGATCCTATGGACACGCAAGCCTAAACAAATGGTGTGACGAAACTTCAGTTTCCTGCCCAGATTGTAGGTCACGGGCCATATTTGTACACAGGCCACTAGTCTGACTCCATCTGTGCATCGCATTTAAGTCAAATTGCACACAGTTCAGTACTAAGTGGATGATGGATCCCGGCCCGTTACAGTGAGGATGTAGGGAGCTCGTCGTCATAATTAAGATAAAAATGGGACGGGATTAGCCCTGTGGGTCATGATTGGACTTACAGAGAACCTGCCACTAATATGTGTAAAATAAAAATTATACAATGATACTTTCCTCTGAGATAAGTAAAAATGTGTTTTCCCTTTGATATTATAGAAATTCTGATTTTCATCTGTGATTATACAATTTGTTTGAATTAGCTCTGTAGAAGTGTGCTTGTTAGAATTATTGCTGTTTTCCCCCTAACATTTACAACCAAACCAGCTAACTAAACAAAAAACAGACTTTTGAAGGTTTTTTATTATTTTTTTATTTAAAAAAATGCATACAAATCTCTAGGCTGACCTGGAGTCTGTATCTTATGCTGTACAATAACCCACCCCAAGGCCAAATACAAGGGCACAAAAACAACAAATATAGATTCATGTTTGGCTTTGACATTTATTATATCGAGCAGCAATAATTCTTGATGTCTTTCTCTCTTTGTATTCCACAGTATATTTTTGCGGACTCCACCAACAACTACTTGTGGAACACCTTTGACTTCTGCAACACTGTTCAGGGCTTCGCTCTTCCCTTCAAACCAACCGATCTGCTGCTTCACTCCAGACGGTCTAACCTTGTGCTCGGCTACGACGGCTCTCATCCAAACAAGCAGGTACAAGCTAAAGTCCAAAATATTTCTCATATTATGGTTCTGATATCTGAATAAAACACTGAATGTGACATTTATTATTTCGAAATATTCGTTTTTCGAAGAATTTGATGGCGGCAGCTTATTGGTACAGGTTTTTTTCCCATCGTGCACCATCCCCTCTTCTTTTAACAGCTGTCTGTAAACATCTGGAAAAGAGAAAATCAGCTGCGGGGCTTATCTGGCTCCTTGAAAGTTGTTTCTTGTTGCATTTTGCCATCCATTCATCCATTATCAACTGCTTATCCGGGGTCGGGTTCTAGAGGCAGCAGCTTAAGAAGGAAGACCCAGACTTTGATGTCACTGTTTTGATTCCTCTAATTCGTGGCAACTTGTACTTTGCAAACATGTTTCTTGCTCCTGTCTCCACTTATTTGATATAGCTGACATTGGAGTGAGCAATGTTTTTTTAAATTGTGAAAGATCTCTCTTGGGTTCCATGTTCTCTTGTGAGTATAATTTGCTTTATTTGAGTGGCAACGGTTGTTAAAGACTGTTGTAGGCACAGCATTTTAGGACCCTATACCTCCTTCCAGAAGTCAGGTGGTGGAGGGGGAAATCCTGCCTTTATAATCATCTTCCGCAGAAGCAAAATGGGGATGTCTTCGATCGGGTGCAGAGGGAGCCCGATGACTTTTCCTGCTGGCTCATAGTGGCTGTATGAAGCGGACCTGTTAACTATTGACTAGTTCCCATGTTAGGCTGGTATGCAGCAGGTCAGCATGCTTTCCTCTGCTCATTGTTCTAAAGGATCCTTCAGTGTAGCAGAGGTATTACATCTGCTGGCTCTTTTTCTCTCCAGCAGTAGAGATCGTCATTGATGTGCACATTAGGGAAATTATTCCCGGCCCTCCCCACCTCCTCCTCCTTCAGTTTTGTGTAGCAGGTGCTTCGCCTGTTTCCATCTGAAGTCAAGTACGCATTCAGACGGTCAGGCATGTTGAGACACAAGTCTGTAGACAACTGGTGACGAAGTCGTAACTGGCCGAGGACCTGTAGCTTTCTCAACCAATCTCCCGAGGATGATTAAAGTATTGCAGACTTAAAAGCCACACTGCAATTCACAGTCAAAAGTCTATCACCTCCTGGCTGACCGGGAGAGTCAGGAGGTCTCTGTTTATGGTCATCAGTGGCTCTGTTTGCCCAGTATTACTTACTGATGCTGGTCTAGGACAGGAAACAGGATATCTGATGCGACCCTGAACTAGATTTGAAAGGATCGGTGTCAGCGTGTCTGATGATGTGGCGTGTAGACTGCGGTCAGCCGGGGCACCCGGAGGATTATCTCAGTTTGCACGAGAGACAGATCAGTTGCATGCGTCAGTAAAAGATCGGCGACGTTCGTCAGGAGCTCTGCTAGCCGGTGAGAGCTATCCCCGAGGGACCCGCCCTGCCATCTCTTCCTGGCCCGCTGACTCTCTGGCATTTAGAGTGCGGGATCAGTAGTATCCAGCTGGGGGATCAGCATCGTCTTGGTCCTCCGACGAATCAGGCAGGGATGTGATTCACGCCGCCTTTTCTGTTTCTGAGTTCCCGAGGTTATGTCACATGCCCCCTGCCCCAGATCTGTAGACCGCGCTGTGCTTCTCAGAATAAGCTGGGCCTCTTTTTGTCATCCACGTCTTCCTGTTTGGGATTGAAGAAATATGTTTGTTAATGGATACTGGTTAGAGATTCTGACATGTAGCGTTAGAGTACATGTATGTTCTTCAGGGTTGTAGATGGGCTCCTTCTGTTTTGACTGGTGTATTGTTTATATGAGTCTGTTCAGATTTATTTCACTGTATACCTGTGCTTCCCAATCATGCCCACCCCCCCCAGAAAGAAAAAAAACGTGAAGTTGCATGTTCTTCCCATGTCTCCGTGAGCTTTCTATGGCTTTCTCCCACCATCCAAAAAAACATGCATGCTAGGTGTATTGAACACTCTAAATTGGCTCTAGGAGTGGATGTGGTTGTTTGTCTCTGTGTGCCCCAGCGAAGGAGTGGCGACCTGCACCCCCCCCCCCCCCCCAACCCCACTGGGAATAAGGAGTAAAGATAATGGATGGATGCACTAAACACGCAAACAATTGAAAAAATAATGGTTGGATGAATCATTGAAAATGAATGTTTTAATTGTAAGGATGCTTAATAGGTTGGATATGTTTTTTCGGGTTTAGTCATTGGTATGAACGTTGTAACCAATAGCAGCGTCTGTCGAAAGCTTTTTAGGTTTCCCTGACATGAGTTCAAACACTGTAGCGTCCTTCCAGTGTTCTCGTCGTCAAGTGTGTCAGAGCCAAAACGCAGGAATGAGTTGACCTACATTTTTACAGTGCACCATCCCCCTCTTCTTTTTTCCCTCGCTCTCCTCTCCCCTTCCTTCTATCCCCCCCCCCTGTCTCCTCATACCCCCTCTCCCCTCCTGTCTCTTTTAGCTGTGGAAATCTGACGATTTTGGGGAAACGTGGGTGCTGATCCAAGAGCACGTGAAGACCTACTTCTGGTAAGACAGCGGCTATCTCAGTAGACCTCGCGTCAAAGTGTGGATGTGTTTGGCTGGTGAGAAATATCCCGAGTGCTATTCTGCATTCACTGGTACTCGACAAGACACAAAGAGCGAACCCAACCCTCTAGAAAACCAGTTCAGTCATCGTTCAGGTAACAGCAAAATCAGGAAAACTGCACAGTCTCGACATAACAACTGAAAATGAGCGTTAGCTGCTGATTAAATATTTAAAAAAGGGGATTTTTCGTTAAAATCCAGCTGTGGAAATGAATATAAATCACTATTCCTGAACCAGTAAAAAAAGATCTTTTTTAATTAAAAAAACAAACAAGTTTAGGGTTTTTTTCTTTGATAAATCTAATCACAGAAAAAAGACTTTATATGAAAATCATCTCATTGCGTTTTTATGTTTTAAGGATTTACGAAAAGATTGGATAATGAACACAAACAGTTGCATTGGATTTTAGTAAAGTGGTATTTAATAATTTACACTCATTGGTCAGGCCATAGCTCTGAGTAAATAGTAGCTCTTTGTATAGCTGGTAAAAAGATTTAAGTATTCCTCAGCCATTTGCACATTATTTTATAGTCCTTATTTATAGTCTGATATGCCCCTTTAAAGGCTTAATTCACACCAAGAGAGAAAATGTCTTAGGTTATAAAAAATTCAAATCTTGTTTCATTTTATTGTTATTATGGGTGTTTGAATACTGAGGACATTTCCCATGCGAGGAAAGTAAATCCATGAAAAAATCTGTGTTTGTGACTTTATCACAGTTAAAGAAATAAGCAGAAATGACGTCTCTTAAATATCCCGTGATTCTTTTTGGTGACACTGCCTCTGTCATTTGGCTGTAGGACACAGTAATCTTAACTTGGAGCACATCTTATCTGAAGTATGTGCCGAACTGCGATGGTCTCAAGTACTTCCAGCTTTTGGTTATCGGCTATTTGCTGCTTATGTTGACAAGCTTTTTTAAATATTTGGAATTAGTAGGAACTAAATGAGCTGGCCAGCAGCTCAAAGTCTAAATAGAGCATCCACTAGACGTCTGGACTATAACCAAGGCCACTATTCAGTGATATATATACACAGTCAACAATGTACTGCTCATTTGACACCTACATTATGACAATGTTAACTTTAAATATAGTTAGAATTAAATAAAAATAACAGCATTTAATTGATTGACCATTATTTTATGTATATAAATATTTTGGAGTCAATCATCCGTGAGATCAATTATATCACCAGTTTAATCAACATTTTTTAGGTTAAACTACTCTGACCAGGAACGTATAGTCCCAAGTAAAAACCCCTGAAACCTTTAATGAGTTCATTTTTGTTCAGCTATGTGCGAGTCCAGTGTTTTTTTCTCCTTTTACTTGTGAAAGCATGTGTTCCTTCACAGGATGGGTTTACTGTAGGTCATTAGTTCTCGCTTAGTTAACAATGCTTAATTTTCTTCACAAACGTGGGATTGTGCATAAAACGGTGATTTAATTATTTGGCTGACACCCGTGACCTTTTTGATGATTACTAGTTGAAAAAAAAACAAGTGGAAAACAGAATGAGCACACTCTGCTGATGGTTTCCAGATCATACAGACATGTTGGTGTAAAGAGCTCCTCAGTTATACATAAAGTGACATTTATATGGATTCAAATAAATCCAAATTTTATAGCATTGGATTGAAATTAAAATCGGAGGTTTAACTGGTAGCAAAAAGATCAGAGAGGAGCTATTTCACTATTGATCCCTTTGAGAACACATGCCGTGGTTGTTGTATTATATTGGTGCCTTGATGAGAAAATGAATAAATAATCAAATTCCATGCAAAAATTGCCATCATTTGTAAATGTTGCAAGACCACACAAAGCAACAAATAGAGCTTTTATTACTTCACTTTACTTTATTACTGCTTTTATCATACCAACACTAAGCACACATTGCCATGCCCACAATGCAAAGCACTTGTCTTTCCATCCAAACACTTTGATGCATCTGAAAGCCTGTGGTGAGAAACGGCCATAGACTTTTTTCGATTAACAGATTATTTCCTTAAATCTTCATTTGTTTGTTTCATGTCTATAGTACAATCTCCTAATGTACTGTAGAGAATTATCCAAATCCTGCATAGTGTCAGGACGGGCTCAAGGCCGGACTCAGACGCAGAGCCTGGCAGTCTCAAGGTCTTCATTACAACTCAAGATCAACACTCAGAGTGGAAGCAAAAGGCTATATATAAGAAAAATCCGGAATAATATCTCTTTTTCGAGGTGCTCTCTTGACTACAAGGCAAGAAAAACTGTGACGAAGTTCAAAGGCTCTGGTTCAGTAGTCAAACAACAGCAAAACCCTCCAGGCGTGACACATAGAAAGGGATGTAAACTCTTTTGTGATTAAGAAGAAGAACTAAGACATGCAGAAGAACAGATGGATGCTAACCAGAAGCCTTGATGAGACTTGGAAAAAAGGCCATATGTCTTAGACTGATTTAAAAAAGAAAGCCCCTGTTTACTGAAGTGAACCAGACTGCTTTTTCTTCTTGTTTTGTACCAATAGGTTGTAAATTATATCACCCTGTAAGGATTTGAAACATTTCTGTGATATTAGGAAAAGAACAAAATGGTGAAAAGTAAAAAGCCAAAGTTTGTGAAATATCTCTGACTGACTCATACATTTAAATAAGATGACAATTTAACTTTATTGCTTTTCCCACAGAAGTACGAGTTCTTTGTACTTTGATGTAGAAACAGAAAGGACCCCAGGTCTGTTTTTTCATCTTTTATCCCCAAAGCATTTGGCTTTGAAAGAACTCAACTAGTTAAACTTTTTTGCCTTTGAAATCATTATTGTCAACTCTGCTTTTTTTACACTGAAATCAAGTCGGAATTGATGTATGTCTAATTATCCCTCCATGTGTTGTTTGGAAAAAGGTTTTATCTAAAAATAATTAATACCGGTAGTTTTTTTTTTCCCCCAGTCCAATCTAATATAGTTGCTTCTACCTGTAGAATCGTCCGAGCATGCGACCAAAACAGGACAGTTGTTTACGAAGTCTGAACTGGGAACGGGGATGAATCCAAAGGCAGGGACAGAGACAGCCTACTAAAAGCACTTCAGGCTCTCCCAGGGCAGACAGTTTCCATCGGTTGAACAAGGACCTTTGAAAGAATGCCACATAGGCAGAGTCGAGCGGAGACACTGCTCCCTCTGTTTGGCTCTCAAAACTGTGAAAGAAAACACACTGATTTGGAAGGCAGATGATAAGATGCCGTGAAGCCCCTTCATTCATTCCAGCTGACTCTCCATGCCATGGTTTCTGAAGAACCCTTGCCTGGCATTTGGGGATATGAATAGCTTGACCATGGCACTTTTCCAAGGTTGGGACACAGACTGTCATTATTTCTTTATTTTGTGCTGACATTTACTATATTAGAAGACAGCCTTTAAAACACAAATCCTCGGCAGTGAAAAACCTTTAGAACTCCTTCAGTGAACACCCGTATAATTGATGTAGTTAAGTTAGAACAATATTCAGTAAATTTCTACCTTTATAACTACAGAATAATAGATTTCTGTAGAAACTGCAGCACATTGACGAAATCCATGTGAGGGACATGGTGATTCTCCATACAACAAACATTTGTGTTGTCCAAATTCTACATCAAATTTAATGTTTCTAATTTCTGTTAGGTAAATAATCAGAAGGATTTAACTCGATTTGGCATTGTAGTGGAGCAGCCTCAGAGGGAAAAACACCAGAATCTAACCCCAACTCTTTTTATTAAGACTGTAAAAGCACATTAAGAAACAAAGGAATGTACTTAAAAGGAAAAGCCACTCTAAGCAGCACTTTACTGCTGTGTCCTGCTATAATGATCCTTTCACTGGAATATTGCTGCCACGGGCCAGACCTGCGCACTGTTTTAACACAATCTGAAGATCAGCAGAAACATACAATCAGTTGTTGCTCTCTGTTTTATGTCCACTTAAAGTCAAATGTGGCACTGCTCTCCATCAGCTCTGCAAGAGTTCATAAGATGTTAGATAAATGGGTTTATAATATACATTTTGGATTTTAATATAAAAAAAAATAAACTTAAGTTCTGGCAATTTAGAAGGAGTAGCATAATGCATCTTTAGTCATAGATGTGTGAACCAATTCTCCATTTGTTGATAGCTATCGAAGCTACTTTCATATTAGCTACTTCCTTACAAGATGTATGAGTTAACAGCAAGAACACCCCTCCTACAGTTTTATTTTGTGATGTTTTCCTTACTGTTCTAAAATATTAAGCAGATTTAATTAATATCCTCTTGGTTAATGCATATTATGGCATCGATACAATGTCTTTGGAATCATAGTTTCAGACAAACATGTCGGTGGAATTGGAAATTGAAGTGTATTGCGTCATTTGTCACAGGCTCAGATTTAATCAGCCAGTTTTATGCGTTATGTAAGTAGGTAATTTCAGAAAATGATTAACATGCTCTTTTTTTTCCCCTCTCTCTCTCCTGGTGCTGTCACAAACTCCTTCCTTCCCCTCTTCAACACCTCAGGGGTGTGGAGCCTTACGACCCCCCCACTACAGTGCTGGTCCAGAGGCACGAGCCCCAGGGCGTCTCCACCATACTCAGCAGCACCGACTTCTTTCAGAGCGAGCAGAACCGCAAGGTGATCCTGGAGAAGGCGGACAGCTTCCAGCTCCGGGACAAGTACATGTTCGCCACCACCACGCGGGTAAGAGAGGGAAAAGGGGCGTGCGAGGCTTTTTTGATCGAATGATGACGATGGCTTTTACACAGCTTTATCCCCCAATGAACTGTGTATTTTCTAATTCGTCAGGGCCCAGGTGTAACTCTGAATATTTAGACTTAGACTTCCTTTGTGCAATTTTGTGTCTTTAGAAACTGAATCTAAAATTGAGGAAAAACAGATAAATGTCAGCTCTCAGATAATAACAGTTCTGAGAGAATTCCGGCATTGTGCAGGTCGCGTATTCATGATTACGGTGCTGACTGAGCATTACAGACGCCGCACAGGCATAGCGGTGTATTAGTCATTGTTTGTCTCCAGCATTTAGTGGCGGTTTTCTCAGTTAGGTGGCAAACAGACAGAGCAGCAGACGGCAAATATGATTCGGATCTCACCTCCTCCCTTGTTAAACAGGCAGGCCGGGACAGATTGGCTTTCACCTCCAGCGTGGGCTGACTGCTTCTGGAGGATTCACTGCCTCTGAAAACTGTTGCTTGTTGTCGTTTGCTTGTTGCGAATTGATGGTCTGATCAAAAAATGTGATATTACAGTCATCCCCTTAACTCTGCAAGGCAAGCAATGAGTTACATCAACTATTACTAAGAAAATTAGATATTTCTCTATTTCTTTTATGTCAGAAATTCCACTGCTACATAACTAATATTTTGCTGAACTTTCTTTGATTGTAAGTTAGTTCTGTCTGTGGAGGCCACCATCCATCTTAAGACCTTCTCATACTAATGCTGATGCATATGGTGCAAATCACATTTGGTCTCATTATAGCAGTTTAGAGCAGCTTTAATAATTTGATGCAATATTAAGTCGTTTGGACACTTATTGTTCAGCCACAACTTAAAACCTGCTTTGATTATTCTGCAGATCAGATGCAGAAACCCATCCACAGAATCCACATCCACATCCAAAATGTCCTCTTACTCATATACAGATTTCCCAGTTTTTACATGGCAATTATAGTCACTTTTTATGGTGGCATAATGTCAGACTAGTAAAACCGTTGACTAAAACAGCTTCCATGATCAAGCAGTTCTAAAATGCCTCTTTATTATTTTGAATGAATAAATCTACAGGTTTTACAGTAGCTGACTACAGTTAACCTGTTTATACTCAGTCATATTTATGGATAACAACTTTATCTGACCAAAAACTAAGTCCCAAATAGCAGTTATGGTAGTTATTTAGTACAAGTTATTTAAAATGTTCAGTGTCATCTTTGTCTGCAACAGCTCATGTTACCATTTTTAAGTCCTGCTGGTTAAGTCTGTGTTTAGCTGAGTGAGATGTTTTTGGAAGTTAGTTATGCAAACTCACCTGTAAGGGTCAGCTGGTGGTAGGTAACGCTGGATGGAATTTAGATCTGTGAAAGACACAATAATGCATTTAACTGCTTCTTTCACGAGTCCCCATTACGTTTTCAGTGTTGTGACATTTGTTATTCTGAGAACATGAAACTGAGCTTGACTTGAATTGAACTCTGAACTCGTTCAAAATTAGAATTTTGAACAAAGTTTAAATTTTGAACCGTGAACATAACCTCTTTATTTTCAGCTGGTGGCATGAAGTAGACCAACACTGTCACTGGCACACGCTGATGCATGCTCTCCAGCCCCATAGCTGGGGGTAATGCCTTTCAATTTAATTTGCCAGCCACAGATTATACTCCCAGAATGCACTGGGGGTCGTCAGAAAGTTAGTGATGGACGAGACAGCGCTGCTTTGCTTGTTGGGTGGAAAGTTTTCTCCTAAAAAACTAACGGCAGATTCATATTCAGATAAAAAATAAATATTTTGCTTCTCAAGTTGATGAATATTTCTAGTCATTGATTTGATCGTCAAACAAAATTGAGAAACTTTTTTGAGTATGCTTTGAGTACTACTACTCAAAATAGGTCTATTAATTGACATAAATTAATTCTAAGGCCTCCAATTAGTTAAGATTTTTTTTAAATCGCATTCCAGCTTTACTAAAAGTGCATCAGCAAAAAGAAAACAAAACACAAAGTGACATAGAGAGATGTTTATGTTGTTGTCAGTGGCTGGTCTGGGGTGTACTCTGTCTTTGTGGCCTGTGTCTGACCCCTAATCAGACAGACCATTACAGGCCTCCCACAGTCTCAGCCCCTGAGGCCTCTGAACAGACACAGACTGACCCCTCACACATCAGCTTTATCAGCCCCCTTCATGGCTCGTGCCATTGCCTTTTTCCCCCCATTTATTTTCAGCTGTAAGAATGCTTCTTCTATTCCAGTGACTTTCCTTAACTGGATCGGAATATCACAAATGGAGCATCACAAGCGCCTTGGGCAATACCACGACATTTTAGCTGAATTAGCTAAATAAAGCCAGAAGTGGAGAGCTTTTTCCTGACAATAGTGATTCGGAGGAATGGAGTGCCGATCGGATTTGAAAGATCTCAGCCTTTGTTGACATCAAGGAGAAGCATTGACGAGCACTGGCACCGACCGCCTTCAGCAGCACAGAGGAGACAGATGAAAACAGGAAGTGGTGACTGGAGAGAGTGATGCATCTTGTGTCTGGTAATAGTCTGAAGCCGTTGCTTACTGGCAGCTCCTCAGACTGCATAGGTTTAAGAATGATTGCGAACTCCTGAACATTCCCGGCCGCGGTCTGCCTCGCTTCTGCTTATATCTCCATTCTCCCACACTGCAAGTATTGATTCTTAGTAAAGGAGCGGTAGCGTCTACCACACAGTGTGTTTGCGGTGGTGTACTGTCAACCCTGTCTGTCAGTGGCCGTTTCACTTCCAGTTTCACAGGAATGGAGTTAGCGGTGTAACCACATGCAGCTGAAGTCTCATGGCTGCTGTTTTAACCAGCAGTGCTGCTCAAAACATTATCTTATTTGAAAGTTTAGTTTGCTACTGTATTAATCAGCAGCTGCCCGCTTAATAATCCGGAAGAAAAAGCTTGACAATACTTGTGACTGCCTATCAGACAGAAATGATTGCCTATCCACCAGTTGCTTAGAAACATCATCTCAGCTTTAGCTACTATGGCGCACGACTGCAAGCGTGATGAGATTATATCTCTATTGAAAACACAAGAGGACATAATCATATGCATCTTACATTTTTTCATCACAGCATCAGAAATAAAGAAAAAGAGGCAGCAGTGAACATGTGCTCCACGCCGTAGTCAACTTGTGCCTGTTTAAAGTCGAGGAAAACAGGGGAATATGTGTACACGAGGCCAATAATGTGGAGAGGTTCACGTTGTTGTTGGAGTAGATTATGTGTGATTCACCACCGATGCCAAGTGTGTCATTATGGGTCAAATTACAATGTATGTTTTAGGCAGTGCAGCCAAAGCTGGTGATCGAAAACTTTGTGGTAACTTAAGTACCAATAGCTGTTTCCCTAATTACAGCCAGTGAGGGCTATGAGATAATAACACATAGTTTTTAAAACTACTTTTGGTTTACTGACTACTGTAGAAATGCTAAATCATCGTGGGATGTTATAGCTGTTCACACAGCTATCTTCCTTAAGGCCTTATTGTCTTTAGGGTTAAGGCCCGAGCTAACACTATGCCACAATATCACACAATAGAATTACACACCAACTTACCAGAACCTCCCACTTTAGCGTGTTTGAAAGTACTTTATTTGTGAGGGCCTCTGGATGCGTGGGCACTTTTCTCTTGGGATTATCGCGACTTGGATGACTAAGAATTGAGACCACACATCTGTGTAGGGTAGATGCAGTCACACCTGAATGCATGATGGGAAACCCAGCCTCTAGGAGGGAGTTTGGGAATGAAGCTAAGTGAAATGTGTGAGCCACCTGGTCAGAATGCCTATGGTCAGGATGTTTTCAGATACACATTTACCAGGCACCTCTTTCTTGAGAAGGTGTTTGGAGCGAATGCTTTATGTCAATTAGCGTGATGAACTTGAAATCGCAGCCGCAGCAAAAAATTGTTGTTTGATTTACTGCCGCTGCAGAATGAACCCCCGTTCACGATGACTTTTTCACAGAGGCATGCCTGCCATGCAGCACTTAGAAGCTTTTCTGGGAACGGTTCCACTGCCGTTTTGATTAGTCTTACGGGTCACACAGCAGCATTGTGTGCGAACATCTGTATCTCATTTCTAAACTGAAGTCATAATGTATGTCTTGCCACCTGGGATGAGTTGATCTCAAACCCAAGACGAGCGCTGCGTTTGGAGGGTTTTGAGACTTTACAGGGGATCAGTTTGAGGGAACGTGAGCTTAACGTGGTATGTGTTGCTATTTGAGTCGAATCTGTGGTCTCAGTGGAACAATATGTAATTACATTACCACCAACTTATGAAATTACATAGTAGACAAACCCTTGTCCAATTTTCCCTTTTGACTACCAAAGTAAACTGACCCAAAAACTATGATTAAAGGGTGACAGGGAGGAATTTCATTTGCACACAAATAATTGGAAGACAATCTGAGTTGTATTGGATTTGAGTAGTTCATTCTACAGTGCGGTGTACTCAGTCCTTTTTTTCCTTTTTTCCCCCCCTTTTCTTACCTTATTATAATAAAACATACTCGTGTGGCTGTTGCTGTTAAACATATGGATCTTAATATTATTCCAAAGACAAGGTTGTCTCTGCTTTAACTCTATTTAACCTGCAAATAAGTCTAATTCTGCATTGGACCCATCACTGATTTCTGTACAGCGATGCGTTGGATCTTATTTCCAGGAAAAAAACCAATTTGAACCTAGAGGAATGTGTGCGGCATTAAAGGAGATGTCACATGGAGACTTCATTTCATTGGTTTTGACTGGCAATATTGATGATTGTGACTCAGTATAAAGCTCCCCTTTTCTTACGCGACTAACTTGTTTCCTCACCAACACATGACACCACTGAAACTGGTCTAACCCTAACCCTTCCCAAAGTTTGAAAGCTTAATTCTTATCACAAAGAAAAAATATGCTCTTTGTAACACGGGTGCATCGGCAACATTCAGGTCCCATTATAACCCATAATAACCCATTATTAGTCAACCAGTAATTATGTATGTACACCTACAGACTTCCTTTTTCTTGTCCCAGGTTTGAGTCGTTCTGATCAAAATGTTGACATTTTAAGCAATCCTTACCTTACCATAAATGATAAAGAAAACATCTAAGTTGATTTCGTACACGAGACATTATCAGAAGCAAGACTTTTAACATTGTAAACTAATCAACAGTCCACATCACTGTGTTGTTCGACATACTTTAAACCAGTTTTTTAAACCAGAACAATTTTCTTTTGATTATTTGCAAGGTTTACAAGTAATTTTACCAGGGCATTAATGTCTCTGGGGCCGAGGCAGAGAAACATAGAGGTGGCCAAACAACTCAGGTCTATTTATCTGTGGCCCAGCGGGGCACTCGTGGAATAGCTGTCCCCGGAGACATAAGACAACCAGCAACAACAACAACACTGTAAAGGTGGACTGAGGGGAGAGTCCAGGGTCCGGGGATGGAGCGATGATGAGCTTCTCTTCAATAGCTGATGATGCTGAACACATACAAGAGTATGAAAAGAAGAAAACATAACATAAGCAAAGCTTATGAACCCACATTTTTTCCTGCTCGTTAAGAAAAAAAAAACATTTTACTGCTACCTTAAATGAACAGACGCTTTGCAAAAGTGACCTCCATGGCAGTTTTACATCCCACCTCTGTGTGTTTACCTTGGATAACAGAAGCATACGCTCATCCAACATGGGAGGCACACGAGGCTTCCGACTCTTTATTTAATCATTTTGAACGACTCAGTAAATCTTAGGATTCTGGAGCTTTGTTGTCTGTTAGGAAAGGGAAATTGGGTCTATACATCAGGCTAAGTGCAGAAGCGGAGAATTACCACCCCCATTGTCTGTCTATCTCCAGATGGGTTCTCCTTCAAACCTTCATTTTGCTGGGAATTTGTAGCTACCTACAGAAAATAAATTGCTGTTTCTGGAGATTTTGAAATATTCTTTTTAAACGGCTCTCAGCATAACAACAAATTGAAAAAAAAAACGCATTTTCAAAGAGCAGTGGAACTAGTTCCCACCTCAGAGTGTTTCCCATTGGGAAACATGTTCTGTGTGGGTTTTGTTCATGTTGTTCCCTGTGTTTGTTTTTACCTATAACATCTGCACTTCTTACTTGATAGTCTCCGCTCATCTAATGAGGGTGAATCACATGATTGGGCTTCAGTTCTGGAGCAGCTTTGTATTTTGTGGCCCGATTTGCCCGAAACACACCTGTCTAATTCAGACATGACGATCTGCAGATGGATCATCATCATGTGATCCAGCTACAGGCACTAACTGTTTGGGTTTCGCTCTCATGTCCTGCCGTGACACTCTGATGTTTGACTCACTCCCAAGAAACCTTTCTGATTACGTCAAGCGCAGAGGGCCTGTAGACAGGCAGTTGTGACTATTTAAACCCATTCAAAACATGCCTTTTGTGTTGTTCATGATGTTGATGCACTGTGGAAACACAGGGAATTCAAAAAGATATTTCAAATGTGATGGAAAACAAATGTTGAATGCTTCTCAGGTGGCAGAAATACTCAATGCCATTTTCTGACGATGATCTCCTCTGACCTTTTTGCTTATGGCACCACAAGTGAAGGCTGTGGAGCTAAACATGCTGCCCTTCTGCTTACCGTTTCCAGCTCTCCTTCCTGTTAAATTGATTTACAGGTCATCCAAAGCTTTGCCTCCGCTGAGGAGGAAAGAGTTCGGTTCGCCAAAAATGCTTGGCTCCGAGCTGACCTAAACATTTCATTCCCCGTTGCGCTGGGTTGACACACGGGCTGGAGAACGTATCAAAAAGAGGGAATTTCTGAGAACTTTTAAAATGCACTCAAAGCGGAACGGGTTATAAAATGTTTCAGCTCGGAAATGCTCAGCCATGTATGATTTGTGCCACTCAAAACAAAAGGAAAATCACTTATAATTACAAGAGCTTTCAAACATTTTGTGGTAGATTTTTACTGAACTCACACCAGCTGAAGGGAAAAAATATGAACTTGTTACGGTGGACATGTTCAGCAAATAGGTGGGGGCTTTCCCTTTAAAACATCCCAACATAAACAATGGGTTTATAGCTTTTTAGAGAGAGCTGTAAGACACTGGGGGTCCAAATGCTGGCAAAGTCCAGAACAGGTGTGCTGCTGGTCACTCACACAGAAATTAAAGTGGCAAAAATAGTTCACTGGAAAGCGCTGATCAGCAAAGCGTGAAGATCAACGATGAGAAAACAGTAAAAATGTCTCTGCTATGCATGTAAGCGTGCTCAGTAAATGTCTGACGACGGCCGTTTAGATTGCTCCTACTAGCGATCGCAGATAAGTAAGTAAGCAGCAATAGAAAAAGCAGTTTACGGTCAGGCTTTGCTTCCTAAACTCCAATCTGACTCCCGCTCTCTCTTAAAATTCGACGTGGCAAGAACAAGAACAACAACAAAATTCACTCCGGCTCGTGACATTTCACAATTCACGCTAAATTTGGCTGGCAGACCCACTGGAGCATACAGCACACCCACACTCAGTTTAGTTCACAAACAAGAAAAAAAAAAAAGGCAAAGAGGGCAGTGGTAGAATTGACAAAGGGAGATTTTTTGAGAAACAAGAGCGATTGTTGAGAGATGGGAAAACAAGTCAACTCTTGTTTTCCACTCAACACCACCAGAGTGTAACTGGGCCGAATGCGGAGTTGTAGTTGGACTGATGCGTGAGACGGACCATGAAGGACGCTTTTCACACGCCAGGATGTCGTTTAGACGACATTGTTGTGCAAACCACGATTTTCAAATCTCTCCTAAACAGGGTGGTCCATGCAAAGTATGATAACACAACTACTTTGTCGTCCGGAAGCTTAAACTGAGCTCAGTTACAAACACGTTGGAAATGGAAAGAGTGGAAAATATATTTACCGTGAAAATAATCTATTATAAGAATACACTATAAAGTCACAGAGGGTTAGATGGAATGTGTCAAATTCAAAAAGAGGACAGAGAACAGCGAGAACCAGTACAATAATTAAATATGGATGTTAACTCCTTTTTTCTGAAATAGACTTTTCAGGAAAACCCTGGATCACTGAAAAAGGATGAGCCATTCAACTCCAGTGAAAGCAGCAGCATGAGCTCACAACAGAGTTATTTTTCACCTCGCAAGTTAAAGATGTGCTCCAAATATTCAGCCCTGCAATTACTTCACAAGCCGCTACTGTTCCTTATGAAATGTTCAAACCACAGAATGGAATTTAGTATTTAATCACGCGCTGTGATACAGGAGAATCCAGGGGTCTGTCGCGTCTTTAGCTGAAATGAAATACACACATTCCTTCTTTTGATCGCCGCCTTGTCAAAATATCCAATTAGTGGAATCTCAACATCAGTGCATAGCAGCGCCGGCCACGTCCCTCCAGCAGACTTTGATTTTCATATTTTTGCATTTAGATTGACTGCGCTGAACAGAATCTGTGCAGCAGCACTCTTTTTAAATCAGTTTCAGATTAGTCATTTGTTTTCACTAGATATGTTTGTCTCAATCACAGATTATATGTTCGATGTTTACAGGTTATACATGAGGCTTAAAGATCTGAAAAGAAACATTGGGGTGGGAGTTGAAATGGTTTACCTGAGAAACATGTTCATAAAGTTTAATGTGATTGTATTCTTTTTAGAAACTGTTCGGCAGTCATGAGGCCTCATCAGTTCAGCTCTGGGTGTCCTACAACCGTCAGCCAATGAAACAAGCCCGGTTTATGACCCGACATCCAATAACAGTGAGTGTTTCACCTCGTGCTGCTGCAAGCCTGTAGATATGAGAGACATGTCATGGTACAGATCATAGCTGTTTGGTATTTGTCTGATAATTCTGATAAATCATAAGAATTGGAGTTAACTAAAAAAATGTATCAATGGATTGTTAGTATCGAAGTCAGATCTCTCCCACAGTCACACAATACAGTTTTCCAAACCAGTGACATTCCATCTACAAATAAAAAATATATATATATTTTTTATTATCTCTTGAAGCCTTTGTCTTCTGTTTATGATTATAATGTGGTATAAAATGCTTATCGTGTTTATTTATTTAGCCAAACCCAGATACAAATTTTTCACATAATATAGTTTATGGTTCCTTTTTTACACATTATAATGAAAACAAAATGTAAAAACACAGTAGCACACAGAGAAATGCGTTCATCTCAATGCGTCAGTGTTAACTTTCCATTTAGATTTCATTCTAGAAACAAATGTTTCAATAAAATATCTCTCATTTCCACCCCCTACCCAAATAAGGCTTTGCATGGAAAGTACCAGCCGTTGTTTGGAACATGAAATCCAAATTGCTCTCAGTGTGTCAGCAAGTACCGCATCTGTTGTAATCATACAGAAGACCAGTGAACTTTCGGTGACCTCCTGCCTCTTTTCTTCCTCCGCAACAGGAGTACTACATAGCAGACGCATCCGAGGACCAAGTGTTTGTGTGTGTGAACCATCTGAACAACGTCACACACCTCTACATCTCAGACACACAGGGCCTGTCATTCTCTCTGTCCCTCGAGAATGTGCTATATTACAGTCCCGAGGGCTCGGGCAGCAACACACTCATCAGGTACCGCACACACGCACACAAACACACACCTGGGTTTATTCTATCACATGACTTTCAGTTAAATCACATAACCATGATGCTTTCAGAACTGAATTCAGGGAAGAGTTTGTTTTCTGTTTTATTAATTTTAGATGTAACCCTACACCCTCAGTTCAATATTATATTTGCTTTTTGACAATATCTAACATTTAAAACACCAACTGTGACAAAACGTTGAGTTGTCATTGGCACATGTGGACAGGACGGAGGACTGGCAGCTAATATTTAGCTACAACACACGAGGAGACGCAGATGTATGGATGGATTCATGAGTTTTAATTAAAGGGTCAATGTTATTCCAGCAGAAACTGAATATTACTATTACTATTACTTGTTACACATGTCTTAGACAGCCATTATGCACAAGGCCTGATTGTTCAAAGGACCAGCCTTCGCTGTAAATAAGAGTTAGCAGCGAAAACTGAGAAAGAGAAACTAAATGTATTATCAGTCTGAGCAAACTCTGTGACATTCTATTTGTTGTATTCCAAAATATGTTGCTGCTTTCACTTTACTTTATACCTGATTTAGGGATGGATTTCTGGTTAAAGAATGCCTGAGATGCAACCACTCTCACCACAGATTCATCCTTTTTAAGCCTCGTTTTCTTTGTGGAGGAAAAGGCATACATGTGCTTTTTTGTTTACAGATTATTTATAGATCTAGCCCCACTTTGTTTAGAGTTGGTTGACGAGCATTTTTAACTGCTTATTTCTTTGTTTTATAGTTTACATGGGGAACTGGAATTCGATCTATTTAGATCAAATTTACAACAATTGTAGTCAAAAAGGATTCTTAACTATTGCTTTATTGAATGTATCACTGTCTTGATTAACCAAAAATCTCTGGAGTCTGGTAAAAATTCTAACTCAGAAGCGTTCTGTTAATTTCGGTGCTTTAATTAATTCTCTCATTTTGCCTTCAGATAAGTAAAGGATTTAATCATTTGGTCAAGGAAATTGTAATGGTGCATAATATTGAATTCACTGTGAAACCTCAGTGCAAATTAGGCACAAACAGCAATCTTACCAATCATTGAGATCTTCCCATAGCAACCCTTGATATTACAGGAAGCCCTTATGTTCCCGTCACAGATGCTTGGAAACGCTGACGACTTAAAAGCTTCTTAATGCCTAAAGCTAATTGTGTGGCATGCAGAGTGTTTGCACTCATCTTTACATGTAAGAGTCAGCATATTCTGCACATTTGATACAACTCTTTCGCCACACTTGAACCCATCCCGAAGCGAGGGGTGGGCAAACACCTCCAAAGTAGGGTCTGAATTCTTAAACGCAATATTTCTCTGCCCTTTGTTTTTACTTAAGTTAGTATCTAACAAAAATCATTTACTGCTCACCTGATGATGTTAGCTCTGGATGTACGTGCCGTCTTTTTTTAAGTTTACCACATTTCTGCATCAGACTGAATAGAACACTTGGGGTTCAAGCACATACAACCAGATTTCACATCATTTTATCTAACATATCCCAGTTTTTTTTTATATCCTCTTTCAAGCAGTCTATTTCAAAACAATGGTTCACCCACTTAGTTTTGCACTTATCGTTTTTTCCGTCAGAAATAATGATAGAAACAGAACAGAATAGAACAGAGACTCTGAGTGTTCTTCCCTGATCTAACATGTTCTCCTTATTTCTTCCAGGTACTTTGCCAATGAACCTTTCGCGGACCTGCACCGTGTGGACGGGCTGCGGGGAGTGTTCATTGCCACGCTCATCAACGGCTCCGTCAGCGAGAACAACATGCGCTCCGTCATCACCTTTGACAAAGGAGGCACGTGGGAGCTTCTGCAGCCACCTGCGGCCGACAGCCTGGGAGGAACTGTGGACTGCCAGGTGCCGATTTAATGCCGCCACAGATTTATTTCATGCTCAACATGATCAGGTTTGATCTTGTCTCAAAAGGCCAGTGTGCTGCCACCTTAGAGACATAAGCTCAGTTTTTCCAGAACAATCCGTTTATCTGCCAAGGATATGGTTAGTGTGTCCTAAATGAATTTGATTTATGTGGCTTGTCCTGGTGCTTGAAGCAAAGTAGAAATAATGGATACTGTCATGGCAGGTGGTTCTACTTGAGCAACAATTATAACGTTAAAGGTTTATTGGAATAGAAAAATAGTGTTTTCTGAGAAAGATTTGTAGCAGGAGGGGAGCACACCAAGCCGGGAGCAGGTAGCTCCTCGCAGGCCGTGATCAGGGAGCTGGAGCTGGATCTTGGGAGGGTGGACAGGCAGGTGAACGATGGAGGATTTGTTGAAGGTGGGAGGTGAGGATAGACGAGGACGACAGACGCCAGGAGTGAGGGGAATATCCACAGAATGCAGGAGTCAGCATGGAAGCTGAATACTGGAGATGGTAGGGTAACCAAGGAAAAGGACAGGGAGGAAATTTTACCAGAACTGGGCACTGTTTAGCATCTGTCACCGGGAATCCATTCCTCTGAGTACTACTCCTTTATGAGGTTATTGCACACCATGCTGGGGAGGTATGAAGTGTCAACATTAACAAACTGTGAATGCAGCAGCTATCTGCATATGATGATATCATTAGTATATTTTATTTGATCAAGTCTAATTCCTCTTTATTGAGCATACTCACATGGGTGGGTTTCACTGTTTTGTGCTGGGGTTGCTTGGCAGCAGGGTTTTGACACTTGAATTATCCACATTAGGACGATTTTGTGGGTCTGTGTCTGTTGTGGTCTTTTGAGGGATCCGATGGGTAAAATGGATACCTCCTCTTTACTAAGTTGGGTTGTTTTTTTGTTTATTTTTTTTGTTTGTAATGGGATTCATTGGGATTGTTTTTGGGGATCAAGAGAACAATCTTGTTTTTCGAATACCAACTCAATGTCCGGCGCAAAAAGACAGGCCTCAATTCTATATCCATCATTTCCAGGGTTCCCAACATCCCATACCAGAGAGCTATGTTGTTAGAATTCCTACTTCCTATCAAACTTTCCCACTTATTTTCAGAAGTGGGTCGTTGCTCATAAGTTTTACTATTAAATATACTATACATACTATTGTAAGCTCTTCAGCAGCAACAAAATCTAAAGGGGTCATGGTGGTTGATAAAGGGAACATTTTGCTTGGTGGATTCCTGTTGAGAGGGAGAGATCGCTAAAACATATTTTAATGGGATACAAGCTGCTTTAATCTCGGCCTCTGCTCCCAATGTTTTCGATTTGGAAGTCTACAACTACACTGTCTCAGCCTTCTTATTCTTGGTTTAAGTGAACGTCAGCTTTATTTTAGGAGCTGATCTGGAACAGCAACACGGACACGCTATCATTTTCTAGATTGGATTTTTTGTTTGCGCCAAGAAAAATTGTATCGGAAATTCACAATGTGACTTACTCACGATGTGGTCTGATCAGAAACCTGTTTATTGCTCAGTCAACCTTCTTCCTAGCACCAGGAAGGCACTTAGGTGGAGACTGAATGTGTTGCTTTTGCCAGCTGGAAATGCTATGACTCAATTTCTGATAAACCTTAATGAATTTCTGGGGTTCAATGAAGGCTCAGTGTCTGATCCCTGGATAATGTGGGAAGCAGTGAAGGGTTTTATTAAATCTAACGCTACTCTCTACGCATCTTCCAGAAATAAAGAGCGTGCAGCGAGGGTGGCAGAGTTAGAATGGCAACACGCCTCTCTTGATGCGTCGCTACAGAAGGAATATAATGATAGGCAATATGTCCAAAAGGAGCTGGAAGGAGATCAATGCAGTTCTGAGGCACCGTTCAAATTTGATATGCATAAGACAAGCATGCTCATTTCACTCTGCAAGGCAAGGCCCAGCCACCTATTGGCTTTAAGACTCAAATCGGATGAACACATTGCTGACATTTTTTGTGTTATGTCTGAAAACAGGACTCTACAGACCGACCTCACGTTGTTGAATTCTACTTTTGCATCCTTCTATCAGTCACTATGTAGTTCAGAAAGATCTTTTTCATCAATCCACATTTAAAAACTTGCTAGGCTGGTTACAACTACTACCCGGTCTTTCTCATTCTGAGTGTGTTATTACCTTACAGGAGTGTGAGATGACCATGAAAGACACGAACAGAAGCAAACCTGTTGGCCCAAATAGAATACTCCCAGAGGTTTATCAAACCTTCTGGTCTATTTTAGCTCCCTTATTGATGAATATGATTGGTGTCGCTTCACTTGAAGCCACCGCATCTACTTTCTGTTTATGCTTGGACTGAATCTTTTGGGGGTATTGCTTACTTGGAGCTTTCCAGCTCTAGGGTGCACAAGGCTAGGGCCTCCGAGAGGATTGTATCATCTCTGTGGCTATTTACGAGTGGAACTGTGGGCTATTTTTTGTTTGTTTATTTCTATTTTACTATTTTCTAATTTTCTGTCACTTAATTGTAGTGATACTTTATATGCACATTTAGGGTTAGGGTACATGTTGGGAGATGTGCTTTAATACTAGGGTGTGCTGTATTATATTGTATGTAATGTGGTTAAAAAGTTTTTAAAAATTGGTCACAAAAATAAATAAATTCATTAAATAGAAACGCCACCAAATTCAATATTAGTCTTCATAGCATTCAAAATTGATTTCATCATTATATTAGTAAAAACAGGAATGTAAAGACATGCATGGATCCTGAGAAGTCTCCCAATATCCAACAGAGTTTCACATTAAAGTTCGGACAGAGAACACTGCACTGTGACATTATTCTCACAGTTTTTTGTGTTATTGGTCACCAGCTTATTGTCTTTTGTCGAGTAGGAACACAATGACATGAAGGGCTCAGTGACAACACAGTTGTTTCTGTCTCTTTCCCCCCTCAGCTCAGTAAAGGTTGTTCTCTCCATTTGGCCCAACGGTGGAGCCAGCTGTTCAACATCCAGCTGCGGAGGATGCCCATTTTATCCAAGGACTCCGCTCCAGGACTCATCATGGCGACAGGTACTGCATGGAAACAGTGCAGCACTGAAGCTAACGTTAAACAAAGACCTTAAACTACCATAAGTTTGGATATCTCTCTAGGCCTCCTGAGCCACTTCCTGTGGTTGTGTTTCAAACAGGAAACAAGCCATCCAAACCCTCAAATCTACTTCTCTAACCAAATCTCCATATCCTGTATTGCCCCAAAACAAAAGCAGCACACTACTTGGTGGTTTTAAAAACTTCTTATTGCTATGTCAGTGTTGACATATTAGCACAGCTTATAATCTGAACAGGAAGTCATCAGTAATTACGTCAGCATGTCGCATTCAGGGGATGTCATCAAACAGAAGTAGTGGAAGTTTCTCCGTTCTGTTGGTGAAGAAGGCTTTGACCAGGCATTTTGATTACACTTTGCATCCACACCGCTTCTTTGCACCCAGCCACTTCCTCTAATTACTTTTTTTTAAATAATGAGCTTGAAACTAGAGCGAAATAGAGGGAGAAATGATGAGCAGGGCAGATTTGAAATTGACTGTGCCATTTGATTGGTCATCGCACTCGAACGAATGAGCAGATTTCTACAGCAGCACTAGGGCGTGCTGTATGGGACATCTGTGATTGTATGTGTGTGTGTGTAAAACCCCGTTTTGTCCATTTCTTGCAGGTTCTGTGGGCAGGAACTTGGCCAACAAACCTAATGTGTATGTTTCGAGCAGTGCTGGCGCCCGGTGGAAAGAGGTCCGTACAAAACCTGGCAGGGTGGTTAAAAAAACTAAACACAGCCTGTGCAGCATGCAGGGATCTGTTCAGAGCTGCTGGTTTGAGTGGGAGAATAAGCCACTTGACCCCACTCCAGCCACTCTTCCATGGGTTATACCTCTTTGTAGATCAGTCTGCCAGCAGAAAGCTATTCCCTCTTGTTAGGAGTCATTAATTGAGCCAGCCCACGTTGGGTAACCACTGCACACAGATATAACCACAGAAGTAATACACTGGCTTCAAATGTCAAACTCAGAGTAATTCTCTTGTCCCGTGCGGGCTCCATAAACCCTGAACGTGGTCACTCTCCTATGCTTTAATTTAACCTCTGTTAAGAATTGGTTGGATGCTTGTTTTTGCTCCAGTAGTGTATACTCATGATACTATCAGTAACATTACATTTAAACAGACTGTTGGGGAAAAAAGAAAGGAAAACACAGGGGCAATAAGGAGTGTGTGAATGTGCATTAAAAATAAATAATTTGTTTGTTTGTAGTTACTATAAGTATAATCCACTAGCCATTTGCTAGCTATGTCAGCTGTATCGTGTGAAAGAAGGGCATAAGAATTTATTCTTTGTGGAAAATGTATTCTTTTATTCAGCAGGATCCTGTCATAGAAATATGCTTTTCTACATGTTAAATGATTGTTATGTAGAGTGTTTTATCAGTGTCATACTTTATCTTGTCCAGGCACTGGCAGGCCCTCATTTCTACACGTGGGGTGATCACGGTGGTATCCTAATGGCTATCACACAGGGAGGCTCAACAAAACACCTCAAGTAAGTGTAAATGACTTGTTTGGATGCTTCCCAGAAATAAATGGTTTGACATTAGAAAATGAAACCCAGGCCGGCTCACTTGTACGTGAAAGATTATGCTCTTTTAGTAACAGCAGAGGCAGACTGTGTGAATGTGAATAAGTTTGAAATGATCATTAAAACAAACTTTGCTGGTGATTCATACTGGTCTGCAAGACTCTGAATTCTCAAACAGCCAACCTTATTTACATACAGAGAATGCTTTTCCTCACCGGCCTAGCTCTGCCTATATATTAGCAAATGTCACTGCAACAGGGTTAAAAGCATCTAAGTAAAACTCCTACTCTTCCCCTTGTTTGTCCCATTATGATAATGACTTTGGTCTCAGATGTTTTCTGCCTTCTTTTTTTTCCTGTGACAGGTTTAGCACCAATGAAGGTGAGACGTGGACTGAATTTAAGTTCTCAGACAAGGAGGTGTACGTGTACCAGCTCCTGACGGAGCCCGGAGAGAAGAGCACCATTTTCACCATCTTTGGATCCTACGCTGAGCAGAAACACAGCTGGCTCATCCTGCAGGTCAACGCCTCGGACGTCCTGGGTAGGTCGGAAAGCGCACCAGTTATTTATCATTTTTAAGAAAAATGAAGTAAAACAAAAGCTTTTAATTCACTTTGGCGGGAGTAGTTTAATGATTACAGATCTGACTTTTAACCTGTTTGCTAAAGCAAGATGTTAGCTACCCCCACTGCATCACAGTAACTGGAACTAACATTAGCACAAGCCCCAGCAAAGCCTAACTAGATGGAGGCACAGCTGGTAAAGAAATAAGCGAGTCAGTAATAAATAAAGCTGATGATTAAAACATTTATGAAATAGCGTGCGACATTTGAAATATTCCTACCCTCTAATGTGCTTTCTCCAGGCGTGCCTTGTTCTGAGGCCGACTACAAGCACTGGTCCCCATCAGACGAGCACGGCAATGAGTGCCTGTTGGGCCGAGAGATCACCTTTAAGAGACGGGCTCCTCACGCTACGTGCTTTAACGGGGAGGATTTTGACCGACCGGTCACCGTCTCCAACTGCTCCTGCACGCGCCAGGATTACGAATGGTGAGGGAGCAGCCCGGGCACAAAACCTCATCAGAGACAAAGACACATTTGTGGATCGTGCTCCTGAAGCAAATTAGAACTCTGTGCAGTGGAAGAATCTCACTAAGATGGGTCTGAAGTGAAAACATTGGTTGGACATGGAATCAGACAAGAGAGAAAAGTGACTGTATATATTTTTTTCCCCTGATGTTTTCTCTGTTGTTTCTCTTTCTTCTGTTTCAAGTGACTATGGCTTCAAGCTTAGTGAAGACTTGTCCCTTCAAGTGTGTGTGCCAGACCCGGAGTTCCTGGGCGACCTCTATGTACCTCCAGTTCCTTGCCCTGTTGGTACCACCTACCGCCGCAGTAAAGGGTAACGATCCAGGAATGACTAGTTTTTTTTTCCTGGGATTTCATATAGAACCAACATCTACATGACTGACAGGTTTACCAGGGCTGTGTATCACCACAGATTCATATTCAGAGAGTTGAATTTTCAATTTGACTTGATATTGATTAAAGTATCCGTCCATCTATCAATGATCTATTCCTTGAATGGTTGCTAGGTTGCTTGCATTTTAGCCGAACCCTAAGTTTTATATAGCTATTCCATCACTTGTGGCAATCTTTTTCCAGTTATTCTTGTTATGATATTAAGCTTTTTGGTAAAGGAGACATATTTGCTCTACTAAGTCTATACTACTTATGCTATAATGTCAGTCTTGCCACCTTTATAGGTAATATTTATTTTTGTTTTGTCATATTTAGGAATGCTTTTGTTGCACTAATCTTACCATGTTTGGAACAGGTTTCCATCGTTTATAATATTCAGTGATTTGCGTTGGCAGTTTTGAAATGTTTCCTACTTTTAGTGTTACAGATTGTTCTGACAGCACAATTTCTGCTTTTGTGTTCCTGCTGCAGCTACAGGAAGGTACCAGGTGACAGCTGTAATGGAGGCGACGTCGAGTCTAGACTGGACGGAGAGATGTTGCCCTGTCCTGTCGGAGGTAACGTTTTGTTTTATTAGTTGAATTGTTTAATTGAACTAAATTAAATAATCTTTTAGTTTCACAAAGGTTTTATGGATATTTTAAACATCAACATCTCCTAACATCTTCAAACCTCTTAACTACAAATTATGACATAATAACTTTTGCAGAGGGTAATGCTGTATGAATATAGATGGTAGGAATTTCAAAAAGCACTGTCACATGCACTGTCTGGGAACACAGTTGCAATTTTCTATGAGCAAATGTGTGAATTTTTAAAGCAGTGAAATGAAAATATAGCATTTTCATATATTTCAAGTAGTTGTATGTAAAACATAAAAAAAAACAATAATTTCAGCCTAATTTGAAAATGATTCAAATGTGATGTTTATTTATATTATGTGCCATTCACTCTTCTAAAGCATATTTGATCTCCTTTAGGCAGTATTGTGCATCCTGATCCATAATGACTCTAAGCGAGAAGCATCAGAAATTCATGTGAATGATGTGTGTGCGTTTTTCTATTCTGGTCTGGCAGAGAGTAATGAATTCATCCTATACGCTGTGAGGAACTCCATTCATCGCTACGACTTGGCCACGGGCACCGACCAGGCCCTGCCTCTGGCTGGCCTGCGGGAGGCTGTGGCCCTGGCCTTTGACTACGACAGGAACTGTCTGTACTGGGCTGACATCTTTCTCGACACCATACAGGTAAGGGATAGATTTTCTATGAGAGCCGGGCAGATTGTGTATTTTCTTTGACATGGTTTTGCTTTTGTTTTTGTCCAATGAATGTTTATTAGTTCTTCCCTCTTACACATCAACTTAATTAACTCAACTCAACTTGCAGTGTTAATAACAGATGTACACATGCATTGTTAAATAAACAATGTGGAACTCATGCCTTCTCTTCCCCTGAAGCGTCTTTGCCTTAACGGCAGCACTGGTCAGGAGGTCGTGGTCAGGAAAGACCTGCAGAACGTGGAGGCTTTGACCTTCGACCCTATAAGTCGGCTCCTTTACTGGGTGGATGCAGGCGCTCAAAAGATTGAGGTATGAAATACAACTAAATATGTTTTAAAGACACAGACACAGGGAAAAGCTTCATGCCAATTGTCTTTGAAGGTTTCTAACCCCGATGGGGACCTGCGTCACACTTTGCTCAACTCCTCCACCCTGGAACATCCTCGAGCTCTGGTCCTACTGCCTGGTGAGAGGTAAGAACACAATTCCACAGGGATTCACTACATCACACTAAATTACTACTACTTCATTATTTACAGACGATACATCTTAGTTAAGTTTGCTTAGTTAAGTTTTTGTGTTATGGTTGAAATAGTATTAATACTACGACGTTTCCCTTTATATTTCGATACCCGGGGTGTCCAACAGTCTAATGTTTTGGACTGATTGGGGAGACCGAGCAGCCGGCGTGTACCGGAGCTACATGGACGGAACCAATGTATCCTGCATCGTGTCAGAAGGCGTCCGCTGGCCCAACGGGATCACGGCCGACGATCACTGGCTGTACTGGACAGAAGCCTACAGCGACCGTATTGAGAGGGCCGACTTCTCAGGGAGCCAGAGGAGCATTCTCATGGAGGGACTGCCACATCCATACGCCATAGCTGTCTTCAAGGTGGGACTCTGCTTACTACTATTACTACAACGGTCTTTAAAGCGCCTGTTTGGATGCTTTATCTCAGGTTTTTGTTTTCGATGGACTGGATTGAGTCAATAGAGTCGAAGTTAGCACTGTTGCCTTGCACTGTTGTTACATTTTTTGTCTGGATTAAGATGCTCTCACCATGTATGAGCCGCCATACAAAAAAAAATGTACGTAAGGTTCCTCTGTGACTCTAAATTGATCGTGCAAGTGTGTGTGAGCTTGTGTGCTTGTCTGTCTCGTGTCTGTGTGGCCCTGTGATGACCTGCTGACCTGTCCAGGGTGTGCCCCTCCTCAGTTTGAGTTTATCTGGGACGGGCTTTCACGCTCTTGAACTGACGTCTAATTTCAGAATGATCTGTACTGGGACGACTGGTCGAGAATGGGGATCTTCAAAGCTCCAAAGGCTGGATCTCAGAACAATGAGCTGATTGTTGGCAGACTAAGTGGAGTCATGGACCTCAAGATTTTTTACAAGGGAAAGAGCAGAGGTGAGGATTAGAGAGAAATGTCACCTCCAGAAAGTTTGAAATCATGAAATCAAATTACACAAGGTATTGCATCATATTAAAGAGTTCAGAGTTGTGTCTTATACTTTTAGTTTTACTTCTCAAAGTGATACACAGCATTATTTTACAAGAACTATCCATCCATCCAGAACTATTCCTGGCAAATAATTTGCCAGATTTAACATACAAATTTCATGACAAGAAAACTTTATAACTCTGCCCCAGAGATCCACAGCTCGGATGAAAGAATTTGTTCACAGGACAATTATAAGCTGGGCACTCAACAAATCAGACTTAGGAAAAGTGCTTGGTTTAACTTTTCCATTAACCTATTCACATATTCAGCTTGTGGAAGAAGGTGCTACGGTCAAGTCTGACCAAAATGTACCATTCTGACCACCATAAAAACACTATGTGTGATAGAAAGCTGCAGCTAGTGCTTCCCTACATAAAACCTGGTGTATGCAGCATCATGCTGAGGTGATGCTAATGTTCCACAGGGACAGGAAGGCTGGAGAGCTCTGCAAAAAAAAAAGGTTTTACTTGTAAGAAACTTAACACCATAGATCTTTTTCTTTCCAGTTCACAGTTAATTGCCTCTCTGTCGGCCTTTCAGACGGAACACCAATTAAGTACATTTTAGTGCGTTGTTGTAATGTGACCACATGTTGAAAGCTATAAGAGGTACTGATGCTCTTTTCCTGCCTCTGGAAATAACTTGTGGTTTTCCTTGTCGCCCACCAGGCCACAATGCCTGCGCTGACCAGCCCTGCAGCCTGCTATGCCTGCCTCAGCCCGGCCACAGACACACCTGCGTGTGCCCAGACGATACCCCTACTGTGACCATGCCGAACGGGGAGCTCCAGTGCCTGTGCCCCCCCGACTACCAACTCCAAAACAACTCCTGTGTAAAGACCGGTGAGACTAAACACTCACCACGGAGCCCCTTTGAATCCCCCTTCAGCTGCAGTTACCTGCTATGTTTTAATGTGTATTTTTTCGCCTGATCAGAGCACAGCTGTTTGCCCAACCAGTACCGCTGCTCCAACGGCCGCTGCATCAGCAGCATCTGGAAATGCGACAGCGATAACGACTGCGGGGACATGAGTGACGAACAGGAGTGTCGTGAGTGTCCGGCTGCCCCCGCTCATCCCTCACCACAAACCGTAAGCTTTCCACCACGGAAAGAGCACAGATTTTTCTTCCTGTCCGTCCTCAGCCACCACCGCCTGCGATCCATCCAACCAGTTTCGCTGCGTGGCCTCGGGCTCATGCATCCCGCTGGCCTTCAAATGCGACCACGAAGACGATTGCGGAGACAACAGCGACGAGGAGCATTGTGGTGAGACATAGCTGCCAGCATGGCCGCATCAGCATTGAGAGGATGTTTGCCTCTCTTTTCTCATTTATGTTGAGAGCTGCATTTCCATATAGAAGAAGTAAACAGCTGGCATGATGCTGCTCATGAAGGTGGAGAGAACAGTTTAGAACAGCCACAGTTGTGGTTTTATTCCTTTATTTATTGGCAGATCTGCTAGAACTACAACATCTGCTGGCTGCATGACTTAGAGGAGCAGATGTCAAAACATCAGCATTTTTCTGACAGGTTTTTTGATTAAAACAAAAAAAGACAACTATAGCACCCACATGTTGTAGTATCTGGAATAGATGGAATAATCTATGACAGTTCCCTGTATTTGATTATAATATGATTCCTGGAACAGGTGAAGCAAAACTTTTTTTTATATATATGTATATATATATGCTTCTTTACCCTGTATATATCTAGCTTTTAGTTATAGAAAACATATTTATGGTCTAAGGTCTTAGCTCTGTCACACTGGTAGCCAAGTAATCGACATTTCGTTGTCAAGATTCACCTAGTGTTTTTTGTACAATGAAAATAAAGGAAGTCTAAGTCTTTTTTTTGTTGTCTTTACATCTGTTTTTATCTTAATGCCTCCTTTAGAGTCTCACCAGTGTGGCCCAGGGGAGTTCACCTGTGCGCGTGGCGTTTGCATTCGTGAGGCATGGCGCTGTGATGGAGACAATGACTGCAGAGACTGGTCAGATGAAGCCAACTGCACAGGTTGGAACATGATCAATTACTCACCCCTAAAAAGGAAATATATAGAAGCACTTGTACGTGGTAAGCGTCCTTCTAGTCTCAGTATCAAAAGGACAAATCCACTGCCATGTAATCGTAACTGTAGTTTATCATCCATGAGGAACCTGTGAAACCCATTATGCAGCTGTGTCTCCATGCCTTAATTCTGTCGTTTAATTTATTTTTCCTTGTTTGACCCAAGTGGGCCACCATACATGTGAGCCCAGCAGCTTCCAGTGTCACACTGGTCACTGTATCCCACTGCGCTGGAGGTGTGATGGCGATAATGACTGTCAGGATGACTCGGATGAAGATCCTCAATATTGTGGTAGGTTGACAACATGTCGAACTCATTGGCAGATGATCTTGTTATCCCCCCAGCCAATCGGGTTTGTTAAATCCTTTCAGGGAGCATTGTTTAAATTCTGTTTTTTGTGACAGTGACGTGCACAAAAAAAGCTCTTTTGTCAAATTGATAGAAAGATATTCATTCAATTGGATTTGTGTGGAAAAACACTAATACTCCTAACGCTAATATTTTAAAGTAGAATGGGCTTCTTTTACAGTGATTAGTAGGGTAAAAATAGACTTCCTGGCTCTTGGTAACAGTGAGCATGCTGTGTGTTTTTCAGAGGGCACACAGTGTAAAGGCTTCCTCTGCTCCAATGACACCTGCCTGCCGGCCACTGCTCACTGCAATGGCGTCCATGACTGCCCAGATGGTGCTGATGAGCAAAACTGTGGTGAGTGGTCGCTAATGGTCACCAGATAGCACCGCAGTCAGTCAGCTTTATTTAGCAGAGTTTGCAGATCTTGTGCCTCACATGTAAAATGTGTGTTATGCTTAGTAGATCATTAGCCATATTCATTGTGATTGGGACTTTGGTGTAGGTATTCACTTCCTGGGGATTCATTTTGCCCGCTACTGTTTGTCTCACACGCAGACCCGTTGTGTACTCGGTACATGGAGTTCGTATGCAAGAACCGAGCCCAGTGTCTGTTTCAGTCTCTGGTTTGTGACGGCATCAAACACTGTGAGGACGGGTCCGATGAGGACGCCGAGTACGCTGGATGTGGTGAGCAGCTGTCGCACATCTGCACAGATCACTGTTAGAAGTCCCACCATTGACTGCATTAACCTGTCAACCTTCAAAACCTGGCAGCATTGCAGCTGTAGAGAGAGATGTATTTGACGTTTAAACCTTGAAACTAGGTGATTAGAAGCACTTAAGCGCAACTAAAAAAAATGGTGCATGTTTATGCTGAACTGATGATCACACCTGTTTAAAAAAAATCAGCAGATGGTGATTGTTTTGATCTGTTTACACAGCATCTGTAACATCTGTTTCCTTAATCACTTTCCTGCTTTGCTTCTCTTTAGTCTGACCATGTTTCACCCTCATGCATCTTAACTCAACTCCGTGCTACAATCTTTATTTTCCATTCTGCCTAGAACTGGACATTAAACCCTTCAGTCCATGTACTGTTTAGGAGAAGAATAAACTTAATTACATTTACATATATCCCATCTTCATTTGCCTTGCTGTTTAATCCATATCCAATCATACTTACTTTTTTCCTTATTTACGTAGTATAAATTTAGTCAGAAATATCATTTGTTTGCACATGACAACGAAAAATATAAGATCTGACATCAGGTGTCTTACCTATGAATTAAATGTGATTTTGTTGGTGCGTTGGCACCCTTACATGTTGTCTATTCTCTGTCAGCTACACCATCTGAATTCGGCAAAGTGTGCGATGCCTATACTTTCCAGTGCGCCAACGGAATATGTGTAAGCTTGGAGTGGAAGTGCGATGGCATGGATGACTGCGGGGACTACTCTGATGAAGCAAATTGTGGTGAGGAGGATGAGCTTTTAGACCCGGATCACTCAAACACACACACACACACACACCGCACGCAGTGCTTGTTGACAAATCATGTGGAACAAATGCAGTCACTGAATGAATTATATTCCCATTCCAATATACTGACCCGCCGACTGTTAATTTAAACGGTAAACAAGTGCAGTTATGCTGAGGCTGCTCGTTCGCATTGCAGCTGCTCCCACGGAGGTGCCAGGCTGCTCCAGGTATTTCCAGTACGAATGCAAAAATGGACGCTGTATCCCTACGTGGTGGAAATGCGATGGGGAGAATGATTGTGGCGACTGGTCCGATGAGGCTCACTGCACAGGTACAGCACAAGATTTAAAAACACACATTTTTATTTAAAAAAATAAAATAAAATCTGCATCCACTCGAAAATTCCATGTAACAGGTTATTCAACATTATTAATTGACTTTGTAATCGAACAAATCGATGTATTGTAAATCGCGTGACATTATAGGTGGAGTCACTCCTCATGCTGTGACCCCTGGTCCGACTACGTGTGCCCCCAACCGCTTCCACTGTGGCTCCGGCGCATGCATCATCAACACCTGGGTGTGTGATGGCTATGCCGACTGTCCCGACGGCAGCGATGAGCTCGGGTGTCCAACAGGTACCAAGACTTGTACGATTGGCTCCAGCCTTACTGAAAAATGAATACTTGTTTCACTTACAATGACGAAACTTGATAAAAAGCTGTTTAATCCAAAAGTACAAAAACATTTGCATCTTTCACCTCTTAACAGCAGCGAATGGCACTGTGACGCTGGCCCCAGCGCCAACCCTGGCCCCCCCATCCCCCGGCCACTGTAGCCGAGGTCAGTTCCTCTGTCGCCGACCCCCCCATTGCATCCCAGAATGGCAGCACTGTGACGGCCAGCTCCACTGCCAGGACGGCTCTGACGAAGCCCACTGCCGTGAGTCCCTGCAGTAGTTCCTGTTTAAGAAAGATCACATCAGATTTTGAGCCTGTGTGTGCACACTGAACGGTACATAGAGCAGCATTTTTAATCTTATTTGAACTGTACTTCAATTTTTCCCTGCCATCGTCAAACCATATTCAGAAACGCACTCTGTCAAATAGGTAACATCAATAAAAGAAGCTGCTAAAAGAGCAGATGAAAGCGATGATCAACTTCCTTTTTAAGTGTTAGAATAATATATATTTCCTGGTGGGATGAACACTTAGTGCTCTCACATGTCTGAGGATAAAAGAAGGGACTTCCCTTATTCCAGAAAGGGATTCCATGTATCCTGAAATAATTTGGAAGATTCTGACAAAAGGAATTTTAAGTTTTCATGGCAGGGCAGCCAAGAAGGTCAGGCAAATTAAAAGATTGAAGGTATCATTGACTGTGGGGTGCATATCGGCAAATTTAGTTTTTACTGATGACTTTAATTGGGAACTGGCTGTAGCAGGAATATATGGGTGACAACCGAAAACCATCCTTGAGTTTGGTCAAATTGAAATCTGTTTCTAATGAGGAAAAAAGTGTTTACAGACCTCCATTATTTAATTAAATAATTTCCCTGCCCGAAACTAATCGGAATCAATATACAATTTCTTGTAATCCAAACAAAATCCAATCAAATAAAATTAATTCAAATCCAAATGAGTTTTTGATGAGTTTTGAATGGGAATTAAATCAACAAAAAGCTGTTTTGCAGAAAAAGCCAACAGATTGCGTTGAACCTTCTCTTTTCATCCCCCATTCTGAGACAACAGATGGCAGTAACATTTTATTCCTGAGTGATAGCAGAGTAAGGATATTGTCTTGAAATGTCTGGTTAATATTCGTGCATATAAACATGATGTGTTCTACAAAGTCAGATTTTCACTCAATATAGACCAGGGGTTCCCAAAGTCGGTCCCCAGATGTCACTGTCCTACAGGTTTTAGAAGCTGATTCACATCAGCTTGCCTTTATCAGGCTTGTGAACAGCTTTTGAACTGATCCATTACATCAGAATCAGGTGCATCCAAGCATCTAAACATCTAAAACCTGCAGGGCAGCGGCCATGAACTGGGTGCAAGACTTACAGAAGTCAATCGTAGACCTGCTTTCATGTGTCCGCAGCCACTCCCGGGCCTCTGTTCTGTGTGAACGGGACTCGATGCTCTGACGGTGAAGCCTGCGTGCTGGACAGTGAGAGGTGTGATGGTTTCCTGGACTGCTCCGACCACAGCGACGAGGACAACTGCACCCGTGAGTTCAAAACAGCATCACTGAGATCTTGAGATCTTGTTTTTTATTCTAATTGGACGTTTGACACCTGTAAAACCCTCACTGAAGGATTGGCCGCTTGTCGCTTCAAGTTTAATGCAGTCTACTGCTGCCCCCTGGTGGTTGTGTGTATGTGTGTGTGTTTTTTTTTTCAAAAAGAAAATGAATATGACCCAATTCAGATATTAGAACTGCTTCCTGCTCTATGCCTCCCAGCGGACACACTGGCCTACAAAGTCCAGAACCTCCAGTGGACGCCAGATTTCATGGGGGCCATCACTCTGACCTGGTCCCGTCCCAAAAACCTCCCCGTGAACTCTTGCTACTTCCTCATTTACTACAGGTGAGCCGAGTCTCGATGTACCTTTAAAAAGTCTTCATATTCTTGAACTTGTTATAACTACAAGCTTAAATATATTCCATGTGGTGGACCAGCACAAAGCTGCACACCTGGAGGGAAAATCATGCACGGTGTTTAAAATATTATTCCAACATAAGTCTGAAAAGTGTTGCACTACGGTCACTGAGAGTTGGGGTTAAACAGCAGGACACAGAACCTAAAGGGTTCCTTTGACAACTCTTCAGATTTCACTGTGATTGGATTTGACACAATGTGGGAAACAAGCCCAAAGTTAAAACACCTCTGACCCCAATTTCAGATTTTTGTTTAGAGAAAAATGTTAACCTATTTTTAAACCGCCTATCATTTTCCTTCCAATTAACCATTCAAATTAAATGTATGTAATAGAGTTCAAGAGATATTTACTTTTTTCTGAGGCGTGTAAAAAAATCATTAGTGGTTTTGTTAGCAGCCTTCACTTTTTCTGATGTTTTTCCAAGATTTGGTGTTCTAGCCTCACGGCCCCATTACTGTGGCTCTGGGTTTTTGTCTGCAGGCTTGTAGGGACACAACAGTGGACCATCATGGACACCCACAGCAACAAGACCAGCTACAAACTGACCGTTTTGCAGCCGGACACCACCTACCACGTGAAGGTGCTCACGCAATGCCTCAGCAAGCTTCACAAGACCAACGAGGTGATCACAGTCAGGACGCCAGAGGGATGTGAGTATCACCCGGTCCTCCTACTCATCTAGGCCTTTGTGATTGCTTTTATTGTCATTTTATGCTCCCATTCTAATAGAGTTTGGATTCCAGCCCACACCTGACTTCAGGGTACTTTCAGGGCAGACTCTTTTCATCCAGAGTTTTTGGTCCAGAGTTTGTGTCCTTGGATGGTCTGAAAAACTCTGCTGCTTGCCAAACAATTGAACATGAAAGTGTGGGTTTTGGCTCGCTTGAATATGAGCCATTTTTTTTACAGTGGGAAAAAATAAGCACAGCATGCAGGGAACCAGAGAGAGGAAGAAACTACATTTCTAACAGTTTACTGTCTTCCCAGTTTCATTAGTTCATGGATAATGATCCTAAATTCCTGCTTCTTGTAGAGTACATTTTCTTTGCGACCACATCTTTATTTTGACTCTTGTTTGTGTGTCGTGCTATAGTGCCTGACCCCCCCAGGAACCTGCAGCTGTCGTGTGATAACAGAGAAGAGGGGACCGTCGAGGTGTCCTGGAATCCTCCTGACAAAGGACACGGCCTGATCAGGGAGTACATAGTGAGTTGGTTCTCTCTCTGGTTGTGAAATACATTCACTAAATTAAAAAAATTAAAAATCCAAATGCCACTTTTAGTCCATTTTTGGAAATTGTCACAAAAACATTGCAATTGACGCATTTGCATTTTTAATTGGAAAGGTATGTATTAAAAAAAATCCCTTCCTGTAACCTGATCCCTCTATCAGTCTTATTTGTGTCTACTTAATCCATTCAGTTATGCAGTAATTTAACATATTACAGACCCAGTTTATAAATAGGCATGTTTCTCAATTCTTTATCTGTTCATATTTAGAAAATATCTAAGGATACAGATTTTTTTGACACTTTTCACAACATTTTGAATGTGTTGCTGCATGTAATTCTTAAGTTTCTGTATATGTTGTACGAATAGGTTAACACAAATGAACATTTTGAGGCAGCTGCTTTTAGGTTCCATCAGCCATATTTGTGTGTCATTGTTTCTGTTTGTTGATAGGTTGAAAACTGCGAGCACGGAGGTCTTGATTGGACGTCGCAAAGGTCCACCGAAACCAGCATCAAAGTGAAGGAGCTGCAGCCAGATATTCTTTACAGGTTCAGGGTAAGAGCCAGCTCTCTCAAAAATTGTACAAATGGGATTTAAAAAACAGTAAATAAAAAAAAAAAGCCTTGGGTGTTTCGCTAATCTTTCTCAGGTGGCTGCTGTGACCAGTCGAGGTGTTGGAAACTGGAGTGAGATTAAATCCATCACCCCTAAAAAAGGTAACTGCGTTCCAGTTTTAAATGTTGATGTGGAGGACATGAATACTACTATATTTAGGTCATTTTATTTTCTTCTGGATCATTCTGTCTTGTTTCCTTGTTCACACAAACATTTAATCTCCCCGAGGTGAATATTTGGTCATTTTTGGTGTTTTATTATTATTATTTTCATTGATGTGGTGTTTGTCTGTCACTTGGTCACTGCTTGCCATTGGTCACTCCTATATTGAACATTATATTAAAGCTGAAAGGTTGTGACTTCTTTCTGAGTACATGTGAATGCTCCCTCGTCTGCGACTCCGTGTAAAATAAGCAGCCCATACCCAAAAGGAAAAAAGAAACCCCTGACTGAGAGCTGCGGAAGATGAAATCAGATTTTCTATTTTAAGTAAAACCCACGGCCCTGATCTTCTTTGTATAGGTTTGTTTTTAGGTCATAACAGCTGGAGCTGTGAGATGTCCTAAAAAAGGCAGTTGATCATTTTACTGTTTTCCGTCGGAAAAATAAAAAAAGGACTTTTGCTGAACCCATTCACCTTGAAGTAGAATGTAATTTTATGAGGCGACATAACCCTTACTGCTAAAATCTCTGATCACACCATAGACACCCCATCTAAAGTCTTTTAAAGAGCAGTGGTGACTGCATTTAATTAAAAAAACACTGACGAGGAAGCATTAACTGATTGAATTTGATCAATTCTGTAAAATAAAGGTGATAATTTATGTCTAGTGGAAATAATAGGGAAACTAAATAACAGTTATTTAAATTAAAAAAAGACACAATGCAAATCGAAAGTGATTTGTAATGAGTTAAAGATGTTGAAGAATTTCTCTGCAAATTAGAGTAGAAAATAGACGTTTTTTATATGAAACAAAATCGGGATGTTTTTGCTTTTGGCTGCTTGCACTAAAGAAAATTCAGGATTTCAAATAAAAGCAAAGTATTTCTGCCGTGTGCTTGTTCTTCCGCAGCTCTGCCACCTCCGTCTGTTATCGCCGACAGCATCACCTCCGACTCCATGAGCCTGTCATTCAGTTTGAACTCGCAGTACGAAGTAAGAGCCGCTTTTTGAATGTGTCCTTACTCTATTAATCCCTCCTGCAATTTTAAGATTTTACGGCCGATGCGTTGCTCTGTTGCAGGTGAAACACTACGTCGTGATACTGTCCTGGCAGTTTGATAGCCACGTCAAGGAGAGCCACAACCACACAGTCCAAGACAGAATCCTCAAAGGTTCAGCGATGTGTTTTTCTTACTCGCGCTTAGTGATCAAGTCTGTAATAAAAATGTTCAATTTTGTAATGTCCTCCTTTGGGGGGGACTGATAATAACCTCGATAAATCCCAAATCCCACCCCATGCATAAAGAGATGCGGTTTAAGCTAAAAAGAAATCAATGTAAAAACGATTTAGTAAGAACGTGTAGATGACATTTGCACGTGAATGTTAAATAGCTGCCGGTGTTTTATCTTTAACTGTGAGTCTTGAGCTGCAGAATCAGAATCAGAATAAGATTTATTGCCAAGTAGGTTTTTAGACTTACAAGGAATTTGCCTTGGTGTTAGGTGCACAACACAACATTTCTATGAGAAGCAAGAAATAAAATGTAGAAATAAAAATATAGGACAGAAATGATAAAACTGAAAAATACAATCTTTAAAAATATAGATCCGAATGTACACATGAACAATCTTTAAAAATATAGATCCGAATGTACAAATGAACAAGTGCGTTGTGTTTGCAGCCACAAACCTGACAGCGGGGACTTTGTACGAGGTGGCTGTGTGGGCCCACACCAGCATAGGAGACAGTCCTACGGCCCTGTCACAACACCAGACCGTCGGAGCCCAGCCCGAACGGCCCCTCCTCAAAGCCAGGGCTCTAAACCAGACGGCCGTGGAATGCAGCTGGACCACCAATGGGCCCCCTGCAGAGGTACAACCTACAGACGTGCTTCCTTTGTACTTAAATCTAATGTAAAATCGGAATGCCGGCCATAAATGGTTCCCACTAAACGTATCTGCTCTCCTGTTGCTCTAAGAGTGTGTGACACCAAGTTCAACTGATTAAAGGAAGAAAAAATACCATAAAAAACAACACATCTGTTCCAGTTACAGCATATCTGTCATGTAACTGCATCTGTTTTAATTGTTTGAAAAATATTTAAGGCATTTTATCAAAGATGAGGGCACTAAATCTGCCTGAAATCCTTTGTAAATTAGGAAACGCTTTGTCTGTGTGCTTTGGTTTCAGCTGTACGGCGTGTTTTATGCCACGTCTTTCCTGGATCTATACCGGAGTCCCCGTCAGGTCCGCACCTCCTCTCTCAGCCTCACGGTGACCGTGGACAGCGATGAACAGTATCTCTTTCTGGTAGGTCCTTATCCAGTACCTTACCTTTACAAACCCCTTCTCACTGATCTATTTTTTTGTCTTCGGTTTGATATTTGCATACTTAATCTGAATGAACGACTAATACTGTTGTGTGGAACTAAACTTTTAATCATGAGTTTTGTGAAACAATGTAAGCAGTCTATATATCCAGCGTTAAGTCATGAGAGACATCCAAGCAGATGTCTGAACTTCCAGGTTTTCGAGGTTAGACACCTCAAATATTTCATGCTCCCGAGTTTTCACACGTTGCAAAAGGTGAAATTTGAGTCGGTAACATCTGTTAGGAAAACAGAGGCTGCCTCCCCCCAATTTCTCCTCCGAAATAATACCAAAAAATTCAGGCAGAGTCGGAAATTATTCAGCGTGAAGTCTGGTGAAAACAGGAAAAAACTCATCCGGGATGTACTGCAGATCTACACTATCACCTCTGTTAGGTGACGTTTGAGGTGAGGCAACAGTCACAGAAAAACTTTTGTGAAGAATTCATTTAGATGCAAATGTTTTAGTTTGGTATTCAGAACTATAAATACACTTCAAACTAAGTTTGAACAAGTGCTGACAGATTCACAGGCAGATAAATCCATAGGCCCAACCTGCCCGTGACAGCAGTTCGGAATGCTCCCCGCTGTGTAATGTTGAGAAAAATGTCTTCAGGACGCTTTGTAAAGTTCCAATGCACCATTTGAGGCCATCTGTTGTCAGAAAAATATGCGTTCCCAATGAGTCTCCGTCATCAGTGTGAATTCACATAGTTAATTGTTGTGTTTTTTAAAATCAGCTATTTCTATCCAAAGATAGAGCAACCAGGACGGGACAGACGTCACTGGATAAACTTTAGGAAAAATAACTACTCATTAAAAAATGTGCTTAATCCACAAATATAGAATAAAACAAAGAAACAACACGATTGTCGATTTTTGTAAACTTGTCTAATGAAGAGCTTGATTAATGATTAGCTGATTTTTTTGGATTTAGGAATTTTACAGTGAAGGAAAACTAAAACTTAAGTGCAATTTGTGAAGCTGGTTAAAGCAGCGTCTCCATCTTTTCAGGGACGTTTAATGTGTATTTGAAGCTTTACCATGTACAATGCAATGTCTGTGCTTCTTTGCTATAAAAACCTTTGGACCACAGGGACCCTTTTGGTTTTATAGTTTACATGATTTTGAGAGAAAAACAGACTTTAGCACCGTTAAAAGCTGAAGCTGCCTGGGTTTAGTCACAATAGTAAAGGAAGCCACCCCTTCATTTCCCTCCCTTTCAATCGATTTTCTGACTCTTCAGGCTCGGGCTGTCTCTCCCTACCTGGGCCCCCCCTCTGACTACACGGTGGTTAAAATGATTCCCAATGAGAGGCTCCCACCCAGGAACCTCCACCGTGTGCGGATCGACCGGACTCAGGCCACGCTGAAGTGGCAGCCGCCGTACGACACCCCCGACGCCCCTCTGGTACTGTTTCCGTTTTTCTACAAACACCTGTCCACCGGGACAGAATAGGTTTTTTATTACTCTTTACAATCTTTGATTCTGCCTCATTGTAATCCAGCGGCCTGTTTCTGCTACTTTTCCTTGTGTTTTAAGACCTATGTGATCCACGTGAGGGACGTGATCCGGAAGACGGAGCACGACTACAAGCTGACCACTCAGAACAACACGGTGGAGTACCTTCTCAAAGGCCTGGAGCCCGGCGGAAGGTACAGCATCTCTGTCCGCCTGCGCAACATGAGCAAGGAGGCCAGCTTCACTCTCAGCACAGGTGTGTGATCAGTGTATTACTGTCTCAGGTTCAGTTTGATTAGTGTTACACAGCAGAATTGGCTGAAACAACTTATCTGTTCAGTTGATACTAAATGGAAGCAGCAGCTATTTAACCCTATAATGCCAAATGTATCATATTTGATACATACGTTTTTTTAAGTCTTTTGGATCTGAGTCTTTTTGTATCATTCAATGGTAAAAGCTTTGCTCAAACCCCTGTTGAACACATTCAGATATACCTGATAACAGCCAGAAGAAGACCACACGAAAATATATTTTGGAGTTATTGCACGCTAATTTGATCAAAATAACTTCTGTTTTTTTCTTCATATGTTGTTGAGGGGCCAAAGAAAGACTTCAGACTAAAAAAAATCCAATATTCCTCCTATTTTTCTTGGATCAGGCTTTAAAGGGTTAAAAAAGAAAAGAAAAAGAAAGGTACCTTTTCAGGTCAAGTTTGGGCCATCTATAATATTAATACAGTGGATGAAATAAAATTAAATAAGAAGATCTGTATGGCTGCTATCACCTGCGTGGATGGATATAAATTCTAATTGACCTGCAGGTTTTTTTAGAAGGTAAAATTGCAAATGATCCCCAGAAGGAATATGAAGGACTCAGATATAACGTTTCCCTTCTGTTGCAGTGCCGCTTCCTGCTCCGGAGGCCTTGAAAATATTGACCGAGCAAGATCACGTGTTCCTCTTCTGGAAAAGCTTAGCGGTGCACGACAGGGGCTTCAATGAAAGCAGGGTGAGCTGTTACCCACCATTCACACGTTCGTGTTTAGGGAGATGTGGGTACGGACGTTGAGATGTATGGCTCTGCTTTTCTGCCCATTTGTGCTCATTGCCGTGCGGTCGACAGGGCTACGAGGTGCACGTGTTCGACAGCGTGACCAACCAGACGTCGTACCTGGGCAACACCACCGAAACATACCTCCGCATCAGCAGCCTTCTGGCCGGACACAACTACACCTTCTCGGTGCAGGCCCGCTGCCTGATAAACGGCCAGCTGTGTGGGGAGCCCGCCCTCCTGCTCTACGACCAGCTGACAGGTACCGAGGATCAAAACAAACCCCATTCAGACTCCTCTGGCTCACCTGTGCCAAAGCGTGGCGCTAACTGACTTTTTGACAACTCTGTATTTAAAAAACAAAGATCTTTGGGCGGTGTTTATTTATTTATTTATTTATTTAATCAGGACAGTGCACATCAATGAACAATCTCATACAGATTGTAAATGAGCCAGATTATAGCATAGTTGCTAGTTTACATCTGTCGTCCTGAGGCAGGAAGACCAAACAACACAAAATCACAAAATACAAAATCAGTCCAAACACACGTTCAGACAACGACATTACAAAATTAAAATGAATTCAATTAAATTCAATTTCATTTATATAGCGCCACATCACAACAACAGTTGTCTCACAGCGCTTTCCAAACAGAGCAGGTCAGACCCTACTCTGAAGTTAACTACAGAAACCCAACAATTCCCACCATGAGCAAGCACTTGTAAGTTAACACGTGTTGTAAAAGGCTCTCTTCTGGTCTGGCTCAGGCAGCAGCGAGGCCGCCCGCACCGAGGGCCACTCGGGGGACACGGCGGCGGTGGTGGTTCCCGTCCTCTTCCTGCTCCTGCTGGGAGTGTGCGGCGGCCTGGTGGCGCTCTACCTCAGACACCGCCGGCTCCAGAACAACTTCACCGCCTTCGCCAACTCCCACTACAACTCTCGCCTGGGTTCCGCCATATTCTCCTCCGGGGATGAGCTGGGTAAGAGATTGATATTTCTAGTGTATATGATTATATCTATATTTGTGATGTTGTCGGAGAGATGCATTAGTTGGACATTTAGTGTCAGTGGTATATGCCAATAATATGATTTCCTCTGGAAATCAATGCTGTGATAATGATACTGTAGCTATCACCCTTTGGTAAATGGATAGTTGTGTCTGCTTGTATTGACATAATAGTTTATGTTTTCTAAACTCTTTTGTGCTCCTCCACCAACATACACTCCTGATAAGTTGGAAGACAGTTTAGGAGTCACATTTACATCACTACATTAAACATATCTTTTGCTATTTGGCATAAAAGATGATAATTCTGAGGGGGAAAAGAATAAAACAGGCCTTCGTTCATTCACTGGCTCTGATGGGACTTCGCTGAATTGTGAGGGGCTTTTGTAATTTCCTTATTGACACGAATGGGTAATTACAGGATCAGTGTATGTTTTGTCACTAGCTTCTCAGGATCATTCGGCTTGAGTCTCAGTTATCGTGAGAATTTAGACTCATGATGTGGCAAATATTTTCTGTGCTATAATCACAGCACAATGAGCTCTTTGAGATGCTTCCTTCTGCTTTTGGCTGGCTATTCTCCTTCAGACGACGGTCAAACTGGAGTTAACTATTTTCCAGGATCCGGAAAAATAAGGTGTTAATTCTGCTGGTAAAGTGATCAGTTATTTGCTGGTCAAAAAAGGAGTCTGTTATTTTTCCGAATTGATCATTTCCTTCCAAAGCAAACAAAAAAGAACTGATAATGGAAAGAACCCTCAAAACATCTGCTTATTTCTAATAAGGAGTTGCTAGTTACTTGTTCACTCAACTTGTTAGCTCAATATAAAAGTCAAATCTGAGTGATAGCTTGTTTACAGCTATCAGAAGTATCAGATTGTATCAAAAATGTTATCATGTTGAAATGTTTGCCGAGGTAAAGAGTGTATGTTGGCAGCAAAAGATAAGCTTTGCAGGACCAGTTGTGAAACAGCGTGAACAGCCAGCTTCCACCACGGCTGATGCTGCCATTTCCAGGGAAACGCATGACTTTGTTGGTTGTGCAAAAGATAAAAGGATGACAATAAAACTGTGGAGTCATCAACTTTTTGTAAATCATCAGTAATCTCCTTACACATCCTGCAGAGCTTCAGATTACGAAAAGGCAGAAAACATGATGCAGTTATGCATGTTTTACTCATAAAACATTATATGAAAGTGCACAGGGAACTCCAAATAGGGTCATTGCAAAAGCTTCCTGAAGGGAACTTGTTACTTTTTTAGGGTAATAATCTTGTGTTTTGATTAGTTACTATAAAAAGTGACATTAGCCAAAGCTGTTTTAAATAGATAATTCAAGAGTCTTCAAACATGAATAAAGCCCCAGAAGTAAGACACGTTTTTTAAATCGCCTAATTTTTCTTCTTCTTCTTCTTCTGCTTCTTCTTTAGGGGATGACGATGAAGACGCTCCCATGATCAGTGGCTTCTCGGACGATGTTCCCATGGTCATCGCGTAGCAAGACATCCCCCCCTTTTACGCTTCCCACCCTGCTTCTGCTCCCTTTTAGTCCCCTTCACTCCTCATCTCGGCGCAGTACAACGGAGTGCAAAGCCAGCAGGTGGAAACTAACCGCCGCCTCAAATCCATCGAAGGGAATCCCTCCTGGTCCACAGGAAAACATGAAGAAAAAAGCAGAAAAGCGCAAAAAAAAAGAGAATTAGATATTTTTCAAAGATACGATGCACTTTTTTGGATGCGCAATAACTTATTTTTTATAACGTTGAATGAGTATATCTATATATATATATATATATATGTTATGGGTCAGCAAAAGGACTGGAGAAGTGGTCGGTAGCTGAGGAAAACTGTGAAGGATCTGAGTTTGTCCTGTAGGGAAAGAGAGACCCGATCTGAAATGCAAACTCACTTTCTATTAGAGCGGTTCGTTGCTTAAAGCCAAAATAAGAATCTAAACTGGAAAAGGAAAGGAAAAGAAAAACACACACACACACGTAGACACATAGAAAAACCTACGAATATATAGCCTCATGCTGTATTCACAATGTACAAATAGAATTCCTTTGGGTCTGCAAGGGTTAGATTTCTGAATATGTAGCGGTGGAGCCCCGTTTGAGATTTGTGGAAGAGCTACCCATACACCACGCGTCATCCGAAGTACCTGTCTTAGTTACATCGTCTGTGACTAGATAATCGACGAACAGATCTGTGATTAGACTCATCACTGGCACCATGTAATGTCGTCATGGAAACACTTTTCTTTCTCTCACCAGCACACTGTTGTATGTAAGTATGTATGTAGAGGTGACACATGATTAGAAAACGTAATATTCCTGGCTCCAGGGCTAAAGAAAAAACCTCGGAGCATTGCCAAGATGATAGAACCTATTTGTAAATATAGGCTTTTAATATGTCCTCACCTTGTAATGCTGCACCATATCATTCTGTAAAAATGTTTTCTTTTTAATTATTGTTTTTACAAATCATTCAGGACCACAAAAAAGATTTTTACCACAGCTGTGGTCGTAGATGAAGTGTGTTTGGGGTTCTCAGGGAACTGTGTCAGAGCGGCACAGTGCAGCACCATCACCACCACCACGGCTTAGGCGCCACTGTCCATCTACTGTTAAATAGGTACTGAAACGTCGTTAAGGGGTCAGGGGTCAGCGGTCAGCTGCGGGCAGATCATTGTTGGCGGCCCGATGAAGAATCATCAGGCATTTATTCACGTTTCGCTCTCATTTAGGTCTTGGATTATTGTTATTTTAGATTACTTTGGATTTCCACTTTGACCTAAATAGATTACTTTTTTTTATTTTTGTGGAAATAGGCCCATTGGGTTCATGGGATTACACCAGAAAATGGCGCATCAAAATTTAATTAAGGGCTTTTTTCCCCCAAAAACACACAACGCTTTAGCTTGTTCAGGTAAGAAAAAGATTAACAAAGTCATCAATTTCTGTCATGTGAAATAAGAATTTTCACGTTATATGTCAGTTAATCTCCTTTTTCATGCTAAAACTGCTCTGTATGTGTAAAAGTAGCTGTCTTTTTGACCAATTACTGTAAAAGTCCGATACATAGGTAACAAACAGTCATCACATTCCCCTCAACCTAAAGTAATTCGATCAAATAACTGTAAATGTCTGAACAACCTATCATAGACTCTCATAAACATCAAGACAAGCAGTTTTCCCCCCCACCGTTGATCTTCACGGACAAGCATGATGGATACTTTTTGTTTTTTGTTTTTCTCTCGTGAAGGATTGCGAGATCAGACGTGGATCGAGCCGTTGATTGTACAGAAAGGACCGTGGTGGTTATTATTTGTCCTTAAATGTGTCACCACGCACCAAAACAACAAAAAAACAAAAAAAAAAACATTGATTCTGCTCCACTTCACGGCCGATACCAGCCCAACCTCCCCCCCACGACTCTACTGCACTCCATTAACCGATGTCTGTCTTTTGCCTCTGGGCTCGAGCCATTTGAACTTTGAAACCGATGGTGTCCTGCTTTTTATCGAACTGTTTTTTTTTTTGGTTCGTAAAGGTGTCTCATGAATGTATTTTGTACATAAACCTCCGAAGATTTTTTTTTTCTTCCCCCCCAGCTCATGATGCTACTTCTCGCCACCTGTGAACTCAGCGCACGCTCTGGTTTGAACTGGTGAAATCACTGCTTTCACAGTGTTTGCACTCGGAAGAATTTCGTCTGTTCGTTTCGGTTCGAAAACCCACTCCCAGAACATTCTAGAACGGTAGAGCCCACCTGTCCTTCCTTGCATCGTTAAATCCCGTCTATTGACCTGTGAGTTTTCCTTAAGACTTAATCTCGTTTGTTTATTTTTGCTCTGGTATTGAGGTACTTTGTTCTGTTTCTGGCCTTAAAACTGATTTCTCTTTCGGTACAGATAGTTTTTTTTTTTTTTTTTTTTTTAAGCCTGTGTGACGTCTGTTGTCTGGTTTTGTTTTGCCACACAATGCCTTATTAGAACACTTTTGTGTCCGCGTGTATTGTAACACTCGTCTGAGAGAGCAAAAGTACACAACGCATGCGCAGACTCACACGCTCAAACTGTACACAAAGCCGTGGAGTCTGAAGAGAATTTGACCTTTTAGGGCATTTGATCATTTTGTCATATCACTGCTTCCTTTCCGTGCCCTTTTTGTCGTGTCGGCCGCTTTCCGTTTCAGTCCGATTTTAAACATGTATAAAGTCTAACTGTTGGTTGTAACGTGACTGTTTACGCCCCACCTGTCTTAATGTCAGCTCTCGTCAAATAGAGTTTGATCATGTTGAACTTGGCCATGTGTGACATTGTTGATGTTTTGCTTGCTGGTACTAGACATTGCAAGAAAAAGAAAAAGTTTAGCGAAACAGTGTGAGGTGTTTTTGAAAAACCACTTATGCTGAAATAAACTTGGTGAAAATTCCACTGCTGTATAGTTAGTTACACATAGTGACAAAAAAACTGATTTCTCAAGGACTTCGAACATAAAAAGGAGATTGGAAACAGGTTGATAACGAGGTCATTGTCATGAATTTTGTGATTTATGAGTTGAGCTCTTCTTGTAGTTTTGGTTATTTTATTATCCGTGATTTTGTGTTTTTTGTCGTAGATTTTTCTTTTCTCCCAGATTTTTCATTTGTTTTTCTCTTCCGGGTTCCCTGTTTCTTACCATTTTCACCCTTAGTATTTTTTCAATCTGGTCAGCTGCTCTACTCTTTTTTTGTCCTCGGATGCCTTCATCCATTAATCACCCTCCTCCTCCTCCTATAAGCTCTCCTGTTTCTATCACTCATTGTCATCCGGGCACACATCCCTATTCTCTGCTATCCATTTTCTCCTTAGTTTGTCAGTTCCCACTGTTTGCTGTTTTTCTCCTTCATCAATCCATATATATATATATATATATATATATTTACACAAACACGCACATATAGATGTGGAACTCCTCTCTCTATAACTTCTGCCTTCCACAGAACCCAGTTTCTTTTACTTTTTACTGTATGAGGGTTTGCCCTATAGGCAATTTCTTTTCAATTTGGAATGTTTTTAGACTTTGGGAGAATGCCAGAAAATATCAGGGGGAACTTGCAAATTTCACACACAGTGGCTTCCGGCCAGAATTTAAACTAGGAAACCCGTCAGCTTTGAGGCCATGGTGCTAACCACCTCAGATTTAAGATTTTGTTCAACAAAAATCTAATTTCCGAGCGAAATGTCTGGCTCACTTCATTTTTGTTCATACCAGTCGCATAAAAAGGATTTGTCAGAGGAAAACTTCATCCAGAAGACCCTGTCTTGTACCAGTAGGAAAACTAAGGTATGTGTCATTCTTGAACCTCCTGACAGGACAAAGAGCTGTACTGGAAGTCTGAAATCTACAGATTGAAAAGCCACTGAAACGTGTTAGACACGTTACATCGTTCGGCGATACGAGAAGACATAAAAATACTTCCTAAGTGCTGATTATCTAATTGCATGGAGGTAACAACTAATTGAGCCGGAACAGATTTTAGATGAGCATTACGTGAGATTTATTCAGTTACTGTTCATTTCCGATGCACCACCCCTGAGGCAAACGGCATCTGGACAAACTTTCTTTGAAATTTTCACCTGATTTTTTCTTCTTTCTGTGGGTGGAAACAAATATCTGAAACATTTTACACTTGTTATTGTTGGAAATTGGTTGTTGACCTATTGGAGCAGCTAATTGAGTTTTCCAAAGCCCTAAGAAACACCAGGAAAAGATGTCTAGGATGCTCAGCAGGAACAAAATAAAGGAAAAGGTGACAGGGGATTAACCCATCTTTCCATTTCAAAATGAATGGTAAAAACCTTACATAGAATATATGCAATGTTAGGCTTAACTTACAGACTGTAAATGAATCAAACAAAGCACTGATCAAACTGAGCTCATTTTAAAGCCCATATATCCTTAGTGGGCCCATCCAGTTCAGGCCTCAATCGGTGGCGAGCCTTGTGTTGATGCCACCGAAGCCTGGCAGCGTTCGTCTCGCCCCTAAAGCGGGCCTCAGGTTGCCGAGGAACAAGGACCCGTTTCACACAACAGAATCCACGGAGCTCAGAGTCAAACCGAGTGTGTGTGCGCAGTCATGTTCGTGAGGTCAGGGTATTATTTACACTGTGGGGACAGGAATCTTTTTTTTTTTTTTACATGCCACATTCTGAGGAAATGTCACTTTGGAGTGAATTAAAAATATTTTTTTATAATGTAAAAAGGCTTCCACACAGTTCAGTTTCCTGCATCGGATATATTTCAAAACTGTGGGTTTGAATAAGAATTTAGATCAAATATAGATAACATGCCTGTAGGTCAGAGTTTTTCCACAAATATAACATGAAAATAATTTTATTACACCTTCAGATGTTAGAAGACATTTGCACAAGACCCCCAGTTTTAAGGATGAGGTGGGCGGAATGTAATGGTCAATATTAAAACTGCCACTCCTACATGCATAAACATCAATATCAAACCCTGTATCAGTCAGTAATGATAAATATAGAAAAACGGACACATATCCTACAATCTTTCACACTGTTTATTATTAATGTAATGTTATTTTTTGCATGATAATGGCTTATGTGTATTTGTCTGAAGTTTTCTGATACTGATTATTTAAATTTTCAAAAAAATTATGTTTAGTAAATTAAAATAAGGCAGACTTGAGCAATTATCTGAGTTAATAAACAAATAAATATTGTACTAAGTATTGTAAATTTGTTGTGATCTGATAAGATTGATATTATATTATTTCTCAAAATCTCTTTTCCAACCATGCCCATTAAGTTGGCATCAACAAAATTTGCAGGTCATTTTTAGACGAGATGTTTTGACTTCTAACTTCACGATGCCTGTGTAACAATTATAAGCGCTTGTTAAAAAAAAAGGGTTTTTACTCATCATTAAGTTTTGACGGCCACCTTAATCTTAATTACAGCACTGACCTGCTGGTGGTGCTGGAGGAAAGAGGAGAAGCCAAAGATATTAGTCGTTTCATGCTATGTTCTACCGACACAGACTGACTGACTGGCAAAATAGCAGCGTGGTCATCAATACAGCTACTACAATCACACAAAAGCCTTGAATATGCTGAAGGATTTGTTAAAACTGAAAAGAGAAATCACACAACTGCTTCACAACGATGCTCAGTGGGCCCAGATGTCTCTCAGTAAAATAGAAAAATGTGGTGTCACATGGTAAGAGCTAATATTGGCTAGAGTCAGATTCCAAAAAATGTAAATGTAAAATAGAAAATTATTAAAATAAATAAATAAATCAATAAAAAGGAACTGCAATTCCAGGTCTGAGTCTGTTGGTGAAGTCATGTTCAATGTATGTGCGCCGTTGCCATTGGATTATCCTCAGGCTGTTATTACATAATGTAGTAACACAAAATGTGTGCGCTGTGAAGACAAATTTCTGAAATGAGGACTCTAATGTGCAGAATGTAAAACACATGCAAACACATAGGCAGAGAGCGATTACATAAGCGGAGTGCGCTCATGTGGGAGGCTGGTTGCTAATGCGGGGCTCTTGTCAAAGGTCACATGGGGTCAGACCGCTTCACAAACGCACACAAACGCGCACAAAATACACTTCTCACCTTTCACAGGTCAAGAGGTGGTCAAGAGGTTTCCAATTGTTTTCGATTGGAGACCGTCAAAATTCAACGTGAGGTTCTCAAGAGAAGCGGAACAAAAAGAAGAGTAAAGAGGAGTCAGAGGTGGAAAGAATAAAGAGGAGAGTCCTATCTTATCCTGACAGTCCTCAGAGCACGTCTTTGTCATCAGAATAAAGGAGGATTATACAGGTCTGAACACAGACTGTACTCTTTTACAGTCAGCTGACAGAAAGCCATGTGGGCTGAAATGGGATAAATCAAGTATGAAGAAAAATGTTCGTTAATTTTTAAAGCTTTGCCCTCAACACATTTGACACTGGGCGTTTCAGATACCATAAATTGATAGTTAGATAAGGGAATTGTGTTTTTTTTCATGTGTTGGTTGTATTTCTGTTTTACTGTCGATCACAGTAATTGCAAATATGTATGGAATCAGCTAAATCTCCAATTTTATCACCATAGTTACACCATATTATGAATAAGATCTCTGCTTAAAGCTCCCATAAAAGAATTCAATATAAAAAATAAGAAATAACAATTGACATTAGTTAATTTTGTTGTATGCAATTCTCATTCTTTGTATCGTTGTGCACCAATAAAAACATTCTATTTTGGACAGAAAATAGTGAAATAAAAGTTTAAATAAAATAAAGAACTGATCATCATCTTTCTGCCTCTATTTTAAGATAGTTCATAGTTATTTTAAGATAGAATAAAGGGTTTTCCTGGTTTATGCAAGTTTGATCAACCTTCATTTATTCTGTTAACTTGCTAATTCTGTATTTAAAGAGTTGGAGAGTTAAAGTAAAAAGTATTTGAAGGAGAAACCTGCAGAGAGTGGGGACTGCTTAACAAGGAAACATGAGTAGACATAAAGCTTGTGGTGAGGTGGAACTGTATTCACTCAACTGATTTTAGCCTTTTTCTAACAAGGCCGACAACACAAAGATGACAAAGATGGTGAAAGACGGTGTGCTATCCTTCAAGATATGAACGTCAAGGAGGAAAAGCATACAGATCAAACATTTAGCAAAATAGGTAACTGAAATAAATGCTGTTTCTTAACCACAGCTACACAAGAAAACAGTGTTCAAATCTCCAAAATGCTGTAGACTTAATGAGGGCTCAGTATTTGTGAGATAGTTCCATTTGACTGGCAACATGACATGCAACCTTTTAAAAATGTTTTTTTCTTAAATCCTTTCTTTTAACACGTCCTGATGCAAAATCCATCCTTACCCCTGTGTCAAACCCTAAAAA